CACAACTCTCGGAATCACAACCTTATCATCAGCCTGAGACGATTCAATCTGGGAGAAAGTGCCCATGTGGGACACACCGACGGACGGTTTAGCACAGCGCACTCACTTTTATTCCGAAGTACCGTACACCAAATCGTGTCAAGAGGTTTGACACAAGCCAACCCACCCACAATCCCCAAGACAAAGCACCCCACAAACTTGAAATCCTCCCAAACCCAGCCTGAGAAACGAGTTTCATCGATCCGTTTTTCGATTTTGAAAATCCGTTATTCAGATGGAAAGCTTGAACCCGAAGAACTGTCCGCGCGTCGCCCCAGTCGCGTGCGCCACAGTGGTCACGAGCCCATAGTAGGAGCTCGCACCCTCGTTGAACATGGCATCGATAAGGTCCTTAAGCGTGCCCGTCTCCGCGACCTTGGTGCTCGCCTTCTCGTAAATACCCTCGAAGCTGTAGTCGAAGCTGTTCACGAATTGCCGGAAAACCGGGAACACGGGGTTCCACGTGTCGTTCGTCCACGTGGCGTCCGCAGTGAAGTCAAACGCCAGCGTTCCAGTCTCGCCCTTTGCCCCTTGAAAATGCCGACGGTCGTCGGGTAACCCGAATCCTTCAGATCGACTTTGCCGTTGTAGTAAACGTTATAGTCGCTATCCTTCCTGCAGCGAAAACGAAAAGCCGACGCACGATGACCACGTCAGGTTAAAGGTCGCATATCGAAATTTTGCGGAAGTTGACGAATGCTGGAACTCAAGAGAGAAAGCGCAAGTTACACAAATTAATCACTGTGTATCGGGTTACCACTTACTTGAAAACGGACATTCGGATCATTCCGTGGTCCTTCTTGTTCCCGCCGCTGACCTGCTTGCCGCTCATTGGCGTGGCGAGAGTTCCTGAGACAATCCAGCAGCACGCCGCGTTGAACGCGAAACAAGAGATTCGTCAGAGTGACGATGCTAGAGGGAATCTTCCACACAAGATTGCTGCAGACTCAGGGGAGTAAGGTTGAAGTGTAGAGGCTCCGCAGCGCGGCAGAGCAACGTACCGGCAAACTGTCCCAGAGCGGCGAAGTCCTTCCACGTGTACTTGCTTCGGTGATGGAGCTGCCTCCCCGGAACGGCGTTGCCTGCACGACACAAAGAAGGCAATGCGTTAGTCACTGAATCTGCATTTCGTGGCGCGGTCGAAAGGTTTTGCAACGGAGTATACGGTAGAACAGAGCGTGTCGTGCGGATTCTCGACGCGTGAGTATCGTACCGGTCACGACAAGGCAGAACAATGCAGCGCAAAGCAGGAGGTGTCTGACTGCCATGGTGTCCTCGCGCAGTGTTGATGATATTGAACGGCGGAACAAGCTAGGATGGGAAGTACGGTATTCGTACTTACAGATTGCACGTTTAGTTGGAATGGGTGTGAATGGTGGTGAGTTGCGCATTTTATATGCGAAGACAGAAAAGTGTACTCGAGGGGACAACAATACCAGGTATGCTGGCGCTTCGGCGAATCGCTGGGTTATTGCTGTTTCGTCGATCTCGCATTCTCGTGACGACAATTCGCAAGCTGGTCGCCAGACCCTTAGTTTTGGTTTGGTTTCCATACCGAAGTAAGAGGCTCGTATGGCGGCGCGACAGCTGCTGCCCAGCTAAACGACAAGCGCTGTTTATCAATGTCGGTGCCGAAGCCTACACAGTACAATTCGGTTCCTAGCTCTTGTTGAGCGACCTATATTAATTGGCAACGTATACAATTAAACCGATCCGAACCGACTTTACAATACAAGCACGACGACAGGCGAAAAGAATGCGACGACGGTGTACAGATATTGTCGCCATTCTCATGTTCCCTTCCTCAGCATGACAGCACGACGACGGCTTGGCTCGTGATTGGGGGACCTTTCGTGTTCTCACCACACATGTTTGAGATTGTTGGCGTGACCCATGAGTTCGTTATAGGGGTAATCGTACAAGAAGTGTAATAACCCATACAGTATTATTACAGTACCTAGAACGTAGCAAAAACTTTGCCTTGAATGATGGGGTTAAACCTACATTGCCACATAAGATCATCTACTCGATTGACTATGAGCAGTTACTTCACTAAAATTCTGAAAACCTCATCTTCAGAGACAATCTTCTCCCTAGCTCGTCCTTTCGTGACACCACGCCGAACCTCTTCAGCATCTAACTTCATCCAATCCTCAAACGTTATAAAGGGGCACCCTCGTTGCTTCAAGAGAGCAGCAAGCTCAGGGCCCCCATCTTTGCCACCATGGGTTATGTCGGAAGGCGATGGCGAAAGGAGCTTGTTTGCAGCTGCATCTTGTGCAACGCTGGAAACCTGCTCACAAGGCAGGGATTTGAGGAAACCCTTGAATGGATGTGAAGCCTAAGATGAGCAGCTACAAGGAACAAATGATACCATAAGAGCAGTCGGATGATGCAGTTCATCGGAACTTGCACAACCATCAATCTTGTCCCAACGATCCCTGTGTGTGCCTCAAAACGTGCCCCAACTTACAACCCCAGGAGAAATAGACCAGGACTCACCACCTCCTCAGCATCAATCAGGTTCGAGCCGACAATGCCCGTGTGGGGGGGGAGGTGCTCTCTTGTGAAGCCAGAGGAAATTTGGGGCACCTCAAAATGTGTCCCAACTCACAACACCAGGCCAAACAGCGCGGGAAAGGACTCGCAGTCTCCTCAAGCATCGATCATATTAGTCCCGATGATCCCCCCGGGGGAGGAGGGGGGGGCTCTCTTGTGAAACCAGAGGAAATTTGAGGAACCTCAAAACGTGCCCCAACTCACAACCCCAGGCGAAAAGGACTCACAACGCGGGAAAGGACTCACCGTCTCCTCCGCATCAATCAGATTTGTCCCGACGATCCCCGTGGGGCCTCTCTTCAGCCACCCAACCACATACAGCCCTGGCTCGTACCGAGCCTCAGTGTTAGGCTCGGAAGCGCTTCCTCGCAGCACGCGGCCCAGCTCGTTGGGGACCGTACCTGGATTGGTTTGGAAATCGAGGGAGGAGGGCAGATTTGTGGTGAACGGATGGGGTGGGGTTGGGTGAGCGAAGGCGATGCAATGGATAGAAAGAGGTGAGGAAGAGGGAATGATAGAGACTTCTGTGAAGCACACACATTTCGAGGCGACTCAAAAGGAGCCCATTTTTTAGGCGCCTCAAAAATGGACTCCTCACTCGGGGATGATAGAGACTTCCATAAAGCATGCATATCGGCACTCACCACTGCGTTGGTTGAATGGCAGGCCAGCAATGGGCAGAGAGCGGTATCCTATGCTCTTGAACACTAGGCTGGAAGGTGGGTGGATTGAGCAGGGGAGGGGGAGGGGCCGGGTTTGGAGTGCAAACAACAGGTGAAGATAGGGAGTGGGAGGCAAATGGCAAGGCAGAGATGGGCAGAGAGCGGTAACCTATGCTCTTGAACACGAGGCTGGGAGGGGAGGGACGAGAGAGCATGGAGCAGGGGCAGGGGCGGCTGGGAGGCAGCGGAAGAGAGTGGTTTAGAAGGGGGGAATGGCAGGCCAGCAATGGGCAGAGAGCGGTAGCATATGCTCTCGAACACAAGGCTGGGAGGGGAGGGCATGGAGCAGGGGGGGAGTGCAGTATGGAAGAGGCGGGGTGGGGGAGGGGGGGACGGCAGGGGATATATGGGCAGCGACGGGCAGAGAGCGGTAGCCTATGCGGGAAGTCAGGGAGCAGGGATGAGAGAGGATAGGCAAATGGCAAGGCAGATATGGGCAGAGAGCAATATGGTGTATGCGCTTGAACTATAGACTGAGAAGGGAGTGCCATGAGCAGGGAGACGGGAAGGGAGGGGGTTCAATGGGTTTTGGCAGGTCGGTGCATGGGTCCTCCCCTGGTTTAAGTAGTCTACGGCCACCTTCAGAGCTTGTTATAACCCACCCACAAGGCAGCACCCACCCACAAGGCAGCACCTACCCACAAGGCAAGTCGCTGGTCTCTCCTGTTCCCACTGCTCTCCTAGGCCCATCCTTGAAGTCCCCTGCATGCACAGGCGTGTGGACACACAGTGAAATGGAAACCGGTAACCACAGGAAACCAACAGCAGGGGCCAAACATCTTGAACAAAACGCATCAAATGATTACCGACAGAGCACTAACCGGTCAGTATGTTCTTCTCCAGTCGAATAGCCCCCACACATCCCTCCCCTACTCCGGCCCCCTCTGCCCCTGTCGCCAAGCCTTCCCTTGGCAGCACGGCCACAGGTGAGCGGAAGAACACAAAATCCAGCTCGCGGCAGTCGGCGTTGCTGAAGGTGCCTCTGCGGCCGCTGCTGCTGCTGCCACTGGTGGTAGTCACTGTTGACGATGATGATGGTGGTACTGAGGGATACCCAGCAGCTGCTGCTTTGGAGAGCAGGTCGAACACACGACGGTGGCTTCGACTTGCCTTGAGCTCCCGCTGTAAGGGGAGGCGTTGGCAATGCGAGGAGATCAAAAGGAAAGAAGGGGAGGGGGGGAGGGGGGAGGGGGAGAGCGGGAAGAAAATGTAGGGGGGAATGAAGGTGATAGTGACCGAGCAACAGCTGCTGCTGCTTTGGAGAGCAAGTCGAACACACGGCGGTGGCTGCGACTTGCCTTGAGCTCGCTCTGTGTGGGGAGGAGGGGGAATTCGGGAGGAGGAGGGCGGAAAGGAAGGAGAAGGTGGGCACGGGAATGAAGGGAAAAACTCCTGATAGCACGTCATGCCTCACCTTCCCCGATAAAGTGGCTGCTACTAGCCCGAATCCCGGTCCTTTACCTCGTTCTTTCATCGTTACGCCCACCTGGCTCAGTGTCATATAGATGGGGCAACATACCTCATCCATGGGAGTGAGTGAAAAGTCCTCTTGCTGGCGCGTTTTGAGATGTGTCAAAACTGACTTAACGTGATGTAGATGGGGCAACATACCTCATCCATGGGAGTCAGTGAGAAGTCCTCTTGCTTGAGCGTGACCTGAACTCCCTCCAGCTCTGCGCACGCAGCATGAGAGGGTTAGTTTCCGGAGCATCGAACACATTCAGCAAAGGTTAGAAAACGAGAGTCGAGGCATTTGCAATACAGGAGAAGCATATTGCAAGCGAAGACTGGGAAGAGCCTTCAGGATTTTGGTCTGAAAGCCGCACAACATACGCAACATCAAGCAAGATGCTAAGATCTAAGCAACATACTTAGCACCTCGCGAACCTCCTTGGCAGTGCACGCAGCCTGAACAGGACCCCGCCTTCCCACCACATGCACTCGCCTAATGGGAGGAATCAGAGGCGAGGGGAACAGTGAGAAGGAAGAGACAGGATGGGGAACCATACATGCATTCCGCCTGAACGGGACCTCGCCTTCCCACCACATGCACTCGCCTTTTGGGGGTGGGAAGGGAGAGAGGGAGGGGGAACAAGAGCGCTGACATGAAAGCGATTGAGGGGGTTGGGTCGGGGAGAGAGGGAGGAGAGAGAGAGAGAGACGGGATGGAAGGGCCAGAACTGGAAGTGAGTTATAAGCAAATATGGTTCAGGGCTCAAAGAAGGAGCTCAGTAGGCGCTCACCTGACTTGGCTCCTTGCAAGAGCCTCTAGCGCATGCTCTGCAATGTCGGTGGGTTGAAGCTCGGACGGCCATCGGAGCAGCACTCTGGCAACGTCCAGTGCCACATTCCCCTGCGCGTTGGGATGGTCAGAGGAGGAATGCATGCATATGATATAATGTAGTGTGAAATGCCGTCTGGGCAGCACCCTTGGACCTAAGCAAGTAGAATGCCACATTGCCCAGCGCAGCACATGAGATGACAAAAGGCAACCAGCACTTAGTCCTCTAAGAGAGGGGACTGCGCAGGAGAGAGAGCATTGGGCAACCAGCAGCACAGAGACGAGAAAGAAAGAAAGTACGTGCCTGGCCAACCACCACTGCAGTGTCAGTCGATGTGAGATCCACGGGTAAATCCGCATAGTCAGGGTGCCCGTTGTACCACCACACGAACTCTCGGGCAGAGAAGACTCCTCTCAGGTTCTGGGAAGTAGAGGGAAGGGAGGAAGGAGAGGATCGAAGGAAAAAGGACGGGTTTGAATCTGCAAGGACGAGGGGACAAACCTAGCAGGTGCACCCAAGGTGGCCAATCCACTCGCCTTTTCCTTCTTTTACCCACTCATCTCCCCTCTCCTACCCATTCATCCCCCCCTTCTCACCCACGCATCACACTTGACTGCTCACTCAGGTCCCTTCTCGTCGACTCATAAATTGCCTCTCTTACCTCTCCAGGCACATTGAGGTCGCCAGAATGACAGCATGGTACATCTCACACATGCACTGTCACTGTTGCTGCTGCTGATGGCGGCGCTGGTGCTGGTGCTGGTGCTGGTGCTGGTTCTGGTTCTGGTGCTGGTGCTGGTTCTGGTGCTGGTTCTGGTTCTGGTTCTGGTGCTGGTGCTTGGTGCTGGTGCTGGTGCTGGTGCTGGTGCTGGTGCTGGTGCTGGTGCTGGTGCTGGTGCTGGTGCTGGTGCTGGTGATGCTACTGCTGATGCTGCTGATGCTGCCGATGCTGGTGGTGGTGGTGGTGACGGGGATTGAACCTCTGTGTCCTATACCCTCCTTTCTTACCTCCCCAGGTACATTGAGGTCGCGGTCGCCCTCTGCCCCATACGCCAGGATGACAGCATTGTACATCCGTCGCAGCTCATCCAATGTCACTGCTGCTGCTGGCGGACATGATGGTGATGGTGATTCGAGGGGGCCGACTCGCACATTGCCGAAGTATCGGCAGCGGGGGTTTTGAGCCACTCGAGTGAACTGGTTGATCACATTCTGGTGAAGGTCACAAAAGAAACGGGTAACAGAATAAAAAAAGAAAATTTAGCATGGAAAACAGCTACATTCAATTCGGTTACGTCAAGGATCAGGATCATGTTAACTCGTCAGATAGGTCTCTTGCCAACTTTGCTTCCTGCCATTTTTTCCCACCCTTTGCCTCTCACCTTGGTTTCAGGGTGGTCTGGGGCAACTCCCGTGCGCACAAGGCCGAACGGAGAAGGCAGCCTCTCCACGATGTCCACTCGAGCAGCGTCAAACCGCTTCAGAAGCTGGACAAGGAGGCCCAGGGGAGGAGCGACAGAAGGGAGGGCGGGGCAGAAATTCCTGTGGGGAGAGGCGGAAGAGGGACAGAGGAGGGAAGGCAGCCTCTCCACTATGTCCGTCCACTCGTGCCGCGTCAAACCGCTTCAGCAGCTGCATAGAAGGGCCAGGGGAGGAGGGGGAGAAGGGAGAGCAGGGGAGGTGGTCTTCGGGGGAGAGGCGGGAAAGGGTCAGCTGGGGGAGGGCAGCCTCTCTACAACGTCCACTCGTGCCGTGTCAAACCGCTTCAGAAGCTGGACGGAAAGGGGCATAGAAAAGATCCGGAGGAGAAATGCCAGAAAGGAGAGGCGGGAATGGGTCACAAGGGAGAAGCGAGAGAGCCAAACCGCTTCATCAGCTACAATGGAAGGGCCAGGAAGAAGTACTATAGGGGGTATTGGCGAAAACATGAAGGATTTGCCATGTGCATAGAGCTCAAATGGCATGTGATAATTTTCAGCCAGATAAACGCGTCTACGGGCTGCTGTTCGTGCGACGAGGTAACACCGGGGACCTAGAACAAGTGACCACGGTATGTTAGAGATCAGGCACCAATCCCTCGGTTTGTGCTTTGGCTACCTTCTCAGCAGTGTAGAAGCCTGCTGGGCCGCTCCCCACTACGCAGAACTGCAATGGCATACCACTGCCAGCAGTGGTTGTAATGAAACGAATGCTACGGAGTGCATGATGGGGATTGATCCCAAGAGAACCACCACTGCGGTAGCCTGTTGCTAGCGAACTACCCCTGCTCGCGGAAATCCTCCGCCACGCTGCGCTTAGAGGGGAGCCTGAGGCACGATGCGAGACGGAAACATGATCTATTCGACCATCCGACGGCTTGAGGGTTTCATCCGCACTATTCGCCACGTATCGCGCTTGGCTAGAAGTGGCGACATCGGCCAAAGAATCGCATGAGGAAGGATACAGGAATCCGAAGATAGGCTTAGGAAATGCGACATATGCAGTTTCGCGACATTGTGCTGCGAGCCTGGCCGGACGAGAATGGAAGCCGTGGCGAGGCATACGGCCGCCAGCGGATAGTAGACGTTCTAACAAGGCTGCTACAGTATTCCCTGAAAGCTTTGGGAGTTGAGCATCAGCAAGGAAGGATCTCTGTCAAGTGCTTGTCAGAATCTGGTACAGTCGGTGGAATTTGTTCTGGGATGGGAGGGGGGAGGGGGAAGGGGATGGGGAAGTGGGGAGGAGATCCGGGGTGGGAGGGCGGAATTCCCTTGGAATGATAACGTCAGCGAAACGACATTTCCAGACGATGTGCACCAAAATCCCGTTTCAGTCTGCTCCCAGTTTCGTTTAGCGTCCTTTTGTGCCATTTTGCTGCTAAAGTCATTTGCGTCTGATTGTTAACAAATCGACATTCTGCTGTTGGTTTCAGCTGAAGCGTGGAAGAAATGTGAAGGCGAGTGACTAGAGCTGCTCTTGTGCACACCGAGGTACAGTATCTCACAATTCCCGTCTACCTGAGACTTCTCGCCTTTGGTAGTGCAGCATCACAACCTGCGATCCAGTCCGTGACCTCGTTGCGTTCGTGAGGTTCCCTGGAAGTTGGCGCTACATCCCTCTTGTGCTTCTGACATGGGTGGCTCTTACGCGTTTATTTTCACCCTAAATCTTGTGATTGCGTCACTCGTTCTGGTTTACGCGGGAGACCGTAATACAGTATACGACCCATGCAAAGACGCAGACCCTGTTCAGAAGGGCGATGGATTCTCCTTTGCCATTGGCTTCGGTGGAATATCAGCATCATGGAATAACTCATCTCCATGCCTCACCGAGACTCTTCAGGTATCCGGGATCTACGTGTGGTATTCCACCAATTTCCCAACCAGCTTCCTTGACTTCCTTGTCATGCTGGATTCGGAGTTGAAAACGACGTCGTCGTCGCAGATTTTACCTCCAGGCGTGGAAGTTGCCGTTTTCCGACCTAAAGTCGATGAACTGTCTCTGTTGAGAATCAACAATGTCAGCATGGCACGAATCAACAACACGGTAAGTGCTAGCATGCCAATTTGATGTTTTTTTTGACACCCTAACCCTTCTCTTAACCACGCAGTTTGTCAATAGCTCGTTGATTGTGTATTCTGGAGCAAGGGGGATCGTATCTGCTCCGCGACAATTCTTGTCCCCTCTGGTAACGAGCTGACTTCTGCAACACCTGATGATGTGGTATTTCTAGTTGCTAGCTATCTGAATGGCCTGCGTCCACATGCAGGGACGGCTTCCCTCCCTAATCCTTATCATCAATTTCAAAGGAGGAGTCCTTGATTCTTTCGTGTGGTGAGATTTCAAATCTATTTACCTTAGAAGTTCACATAGTGTAAGGGATACCATACAGCCATCCTTGTGCAGGAAGGACATGGGTTGCTCCGAGTCAACGTGCCAGCCAGTGAGCCCGCTCTGTGTGGACAACAGCAACTGCCTGATTACAGAAGAGCAGTGCAGCAGCATGAAGACTGCCTCTGATCCTGAACCCTGCCGCCTTGCAGTAAGAGCTGTTTTGCCTGTTATTATCCTGCCTGCAATTCTCTGCAATGCTAACCTGACCACCTGTGCCAGATCAACGTGGCCTTTTCTGGAACTGATAAGGATAAGAAGCCGTTGCAATCATGGTACGAAGTTCAAGACCTTCAAGCATACTCGCTCACAGCATTATATGATACAGCAAAGAACAACTTCCAAGATGCCGTGGGTGCTTCGAGCAACAACCCTGATGAGATCACCAGAGGTTAAAGGGATAGTTTTTGAACAGTTTGTGCAGCCATGAGTGGGAATTTGAAACCATTAGTTAGCTCGCGGTTATGGACATGCTAATGCTACATTCTTCAAGATTCTTTTGCGTAGTGGGAGTGAGGAAATGTTTGTGAAGCAGACGGCTGGATTGGGATACAGCGGTGTACATTAGAGGGTTTCGGGTCTATCTATCTATTCCAACAACAGAACCACGTCGGCTGTGGTACAGTAGAGGAGATATCGTTTCTCCTAGTCTGATATTTTCTGGTGGTGGGCTAGCACGTAACGACCGAGTTTCTTGAAATTGACAAGCCATTTCACTTGCCTACATCGTCAGCCTCGTCTATTGTTCCCTGTTTAGCGATCGACAAGCACACAGCTACCTGTTCCTTATCGCCACATCGCTTTTTCCCGAACTTGCACTGTCTCCAGATGTCATTTCCCGAGTCTCTTCGTAAGCATGTCTCGGATTGGACGACCGCGGTAGCTGCTGGCATTCCAAACAATTTCCAGAAAGCCGTCATCAGTTTCACCTTACCCGACGCGGCGTCGATAAAGTGGCCGTTTGAGCTCTCTCAGAAAGATGCAGCAAGAGGTGCTAATGCAAAAACACCTGAATCTTCCCGTAATGTAGGTCGCTGGACGGGCCTATTCCGCGGCAGGAGTGGCAACGGGAACAGCGCCAGCATCTGGAATCGAGGGGTTGGTTCCGATGGCGCTGGCAGCGTCGGCAGTCCTCCTAGGGGTCATGCTGGTAGTAACAGCAATGACGGGAACAGAAGGGGGAGTGCATGGGAGGACAGCATGCGCCAGCAGTTGGCGGTTTGGCACGCCGACCCTGAATGGGAGGATGAACAGCCTAAGCTCCAGGTATGGTAGTGGGAGGTTAACCCGCGCGAAGCTAGAAAAAAACCTTTTTTTGGGTGGCCTCCGGCTTCATTTGCTGCCGAACCCTCCCCCAAATTGCTTTCACCGCCACTAATTTTCGCGGCACCGACCTTATCCATCCCCAATTTCTTTGAAAAAGTCACTCCGTGAGGGTCACAATGCTGACCGGTCTTCTAGTTCGTGATGGCGCTGCTCCGGACCTCGTTATAAGCATAATGCACATATTTCCTCTTCTCCAATTCACCTCCCTACCCTACTGTGAAGGTGTCAGTCCCTAAAGGCTCCTTCTGCCGAATGGACGCCCCGTTTCCATTGGTGCTGCCCCCGGACCTCGTTATAAGCAGAATGTGCACCTTTCCTTCTTCCCCAATTCATCATCCCACCTCACTGTGAAGGTGTCAGTTCCTAAAGGCTCCTTCTGCCGAATGGACGCCCAGTTTCAGCTGGCGCTGCCCCCGGACCTCGTTTATAGCACACTCTGTGACCCCAGCAATCGGAGAGTCTTCAAGAATATCACGGTGTGTTGTGTCATTCAGAATTGTGCTTTTTGTGTGTGTGTGTGTGCGCGCGCGTGTGCGTGCGTGTGTGTTTGTGTGTGCGTGTGTTCGGTGGTGGGGGTAAGAAGGGGGGGTAGTCATCTGTGTGGGGTTGTTTTAGTGTCTATGCTCTGGGCTGAGGTGAAAGAAAGAGGATATGATTGTTCATCTGAGTGCACACACGCGTACATGGGTGCCTGAGTAGCCAAACGGGGGGGGTAGAGTGCACATGGGAAATGGGGGATCTCCATGGCGCTTTAATTCCGTAGATTAATGTGGAATCTCTATGCATGATGTGACATTGCATTACATGACATGAAATGACATGGCATGGCATGGTACTACGTGGCATCGCGTGGCATGATGCCACATGGCAGGATGTGAGCTACCGGAACGTGCTGTACGACGATGCCGAGGTGCAGGAGGGCGCAAGGAATGAGTGACAAGTGATCCAACCTCCACTCGCTTTCCCCTCCTTTCTCCGAGCAGGATGTGAGCTATCGGAACGTGCTGTACGACGATGGCGACGTGCAGGAGGTGGAGCTGCAGCAGGGAGCAAGGTGGAGGTTCCTCTTCCTCTCAGGAACCTTTGACGTTCGGCTGAGAGTCAAGCAGGACAGACCCAACCTCAGGGTAGGTGTTTTGTGAGTTGGCTCAGAAGCCGAGGAGCAGGAGGAGTTGGAGTTGCAGCAGGGAGCCAGATGGAGGCTCCCTTTCTTTTTTGGTCTCGGGGACATTTGATGTGCGGCTGAGAGTCAAGCAGGACTGGCCCAGCCTTGGTGCGTGCGTTCACCAAATGTCACTTGCCTGTGTGTGTTCACGAGTTGCGTTTCACCGGCTGTTCCCGAGTTTACATCTCATGTAGCTGTTGGTAATTTCTGTCAAATTCCCCACTTCCTCTTCCGTCCTTCCATCAGATGTCGTTTCGTCTCATCAAGCCGGGATTCATGAAGCAGTTTGAGGGCCACTGGCAGCTGGAGCCGCTCGTTGTCCCTCCCTCCTCCTCCATTCCTCCCCCCACCACTAGCTCAGTCGACCTGTCTTCCAAAACCCCGACATCAGCATCCTCGTTTGCAACAGCCACTGGTCCCTCTGGTGTCGTTGCAACCAACGGGAAAGAGCCAGCTGGCAGCTCTTCCCCACGGGCCTTTTTCGGCAGTTTGCTGAATGAGCGTCAACCCCGCCACCACCATCACCACCAGCCGCAGAATCCGATGCGTGTGGCCACCACCGTTCAGCTTTGTCAGGTAGTGCAGCCCGCGCTCTCTCCGCCTCCCATCTTGTCGCACTACTTGAGGGGGATCAGCACACAGATTACTCGGGATATGCTGAAGGATTTTCAGACCGAGGCTGCCCGAATTAGATACAAGCTGCCCGTCGATGCTGATGTGGAGAAGGAGTTGGAAAGGATCAGGAGTGAAAGTGGCATGGAGGAGAAGGATGGTGAGGGAGGCAAGGGGAGGAATGCGGTTGAACGGAGAGAGAATGGAGTCCGATGGAGGGAGGTTAGGAAAGGGGGGAAGAGCGCTGGCTACGGGGCCAGGCCAGAAGTCAATGTTCAAGCAAGAGGGTGTGCTGGCAGGAGACGTCGCGCACCAACTAAGTTATCAGCGAAAGAGGGGTGGTAAAAGTATTGTGGATGAAGTGGACGCATTATACTCTCCATTCTCAAGGTCACATTGGCCTTGTAGTTTATTTTTAAATTCATATTCTGAGGATGTTTAGTCTTAGTGTATTAGTGTACACTTTTGCCAAAGCTCTGTAGAAGCACGACACATGCAGGAGAGGCTGCCACCTCATTCCCTGATTTGCATCTCAGCAGCCAATCACAGCTCCCCGCCGCAACGGTCTCCGATCAAGTAGAGCCATGCTAGGGTCATCCACTCGCGCGCCACACAGTCCACATCATCATCACACAAGGTCAGCGGGGGTTTTGCGCATTCCCCCCCCTCAACTTTCTGCTCCCCGCTCCCGCCCCTGTACTGTACTGCGAAGAAGAACCCTCTTCCGCCATGCCAACAGTGCTTCACAAAACACCCGCTCCGCCGCCAGCAGATGCTCTATCTCCTCAGGAATCCCATTTTCCTCCCGGGGGGAAAACCCCCTCCCCTCCCCTCCTCCTCTTGGCAATCCCAACAGCCTGCAAGCAGAACCTCACCCCATTCCTACAACACCTCATTTCCCTCCCTTTTCTTCTTAGGCGGAGGTGTGCTTGGTTTGAGGCTTGTCTACCTACGTTGTATCTGGAAGCCTGTGGTTTTATTTCACTCAGCTGCTTCCAGCGCAGTGCTAGAGTTTTCTGCGGCTTAGCAGAACGAGTAGAGACGAGTCTGAGAATTTTCCAGGTCTGGGACTCTCCTACAATTTTCTGCGATGGCGGCTGTAATGTCTTCAGCCACGTCGTCGTCTGCTTGCTCACTTGCTCGTGCAGCAGCGTCTAACTCCGAATCCCCATTTCTTAAACATTCCGCTGCTCTACTGCCGTTCAATGGCTTGAAAAAGACCTCCCTGGTGCTTTCTAAGAAGGCTTCAGCTGGTCAATCGAAGCACCGACCAGTGGTGTCCACCGGCGTGCGAGTCGTCGCCGAAGCTGCAGATTCGACTGTTGTGACGCCGAAGAAAGAAGGGGATTTCCGGCACGAGGCACCTCGACAGGGTAGGTCCTTGGTCTTTGCAAGTATCTGCTCTTTGTGTGTGGAATACAGTTCCCTGAATTTTCAGGAGTTACTGGCCTAAACCCCGGTTGCGCTAGGTACCTATGGGTCAAACCATGCTTCATCCTTCGGCATTGAAGGTCAGCAAGAGGCATCAGTTCCCCCTGATGAGTTCTGCCTGTGCTGTTTTAGTACGCAACTGGCCTCATACTCCATATTTAGCCGGATAATCCCTATGTCTTGTTAAAGAGATTTCCTTGCTGCCTTTAGTCTAAGTCTGTTTTTCTTCCTTACCTCCGTTGCTCTGACGCCGTTTCAGAGCTTGAAAGCCCTCAGAATGTTTTCTCGGCCAAGTACGTTCCGTTCTCGCCGAATCAGGCGCAGACGGAGGAGTACTCGCTGGACGAGGTCATCTACACCAGCAAGGACGGTACGCATTCTACATGACATTTTTCCTGACATGTATTTGGAAAGGTCGCATTTTCTGACATCGCAATTTTTCTGACGTCGCAAAATTTCTTCTGTCCCTTACTGTCGCAAGTCCTGACGGTGCGCGTCCAGACTCATAGCAAGATCCAGATAATTCGAGAAATGTTAATTCCATTATCCAAGATGTTTTTTCTCTAGATCTGACCTGGGATCTTATGCGTGGTCTGTGTGGACTGTGCAGGCCTGCTGCTGGACGTGCAGCACGACTACGAGGCCCTCAAGCGCTACGACGCCGCTTACTGGAAGAAGCTATTCGACTCGCGGGTCGGCAAGCACACGTGGCCCTACGGATCAGGAGTGTGGAGCAAGAAGGAATGGGTTCTCCCGGTACGTCTCCGTATATCCGTGTGCCGGATCTGATTCTCCCTGTACGTTTCCATATATCGTATGCCGGATTTGGTCTACTGGGACGTTTCTGTTTCATCCATTGCTCCTGCTCGGTGCCCTCGCCCCTCATCGAACTAACGATCTAAGGTGTTTATTTTCGTTTGATTGTTCTGTCGTTGACTGCACAGGGAATCGACAACGACGACATTGTGAGCATGTTCGAGGGCAACTCCAACCTCTTCTGGGCCGAGCGCTACGGCAAGGAGCTCGGCATGACCGACCTCTGGGTCAAGCAGTGCGGCAACAGCCACACAGGCTCCTTCAAGGTACGGTACCCTTCAAGTTACGGTACCCTCCAAGTTACGGCACCCTCCAAGTTACAGTACATTCTCTACGCTATCCCTCTTTTCCTCAATCCCTCGAGCCACACGCGTCACCCGCGTGCGTTTCCCCCTTCCTTTCGTTGATGGAACCGGGCAATTTCTAATCGAATGCTTTTCCGTTCGTTTGTATCCCTCTTCCCCGCCAGGATCTCGGCATGACGGTGCTCGTGAGTCAGGTGAACCGGCTTCGGAAGATGAACAAGCCCCTGGCAGCCGTCGGATGCGCCTCCACCGGCGATACCTCCGCCGCTCTCTCCGCCTACTGCGCTGCCGCTGGCATCCCCGCTATTGTCTTCCTCCCCGCCAACAAGTACGTTTCGCTCATGGCTGGCTTATCCGTTCCGTCTGCACTGCAAGCGCCAATCTCACCCAGTCCCTCCGCTCCCTCCTGCTGATTTACCGTCCTTCTTGATTCACCTGTTTCGTCCCAGGATCTCTCTCGCTCAGCTCGTGCAGCCCATCGCGAACGGCGCGCTCGTCTTGTCGATCGACACGGACTTCGACGGGTGCATGCGGCTGATCCGCGACGTGACGGCGCAGCTGCCCATCTACCTTGCCAACTCGCTCAACTCGCTGCGCCTCGAGGGGCAGAAGACGGCCGCCATCGAGATCTGCCAGCAGTTCGAGTGGGAGGTGCCCGACTGGGTCATCGTGCCCGGAGGTGCGTTGACTCGTTGACTAATTGACTTTTTTTGCTGCGTCTCGAGGGGCAGAAGACGGCCGCCATCGAGATTTGCCTGCAGTTCGAGTGGGAGGTGCCCGACTGGGTCATCGTGTCTGGAGGTGCGTTGACTCGTGTGAATTCGTTGACTTCCCTGCTACTTTTTCCACGTCTGTCTCCCCCCTCCCTTCTCCTTCTCTTCCCCCCCCCTCCCCCCCCCCCTCTCCCCACCACCACCACCACCCCCCCTCCCTGGTTGTCCTGATTGTGGATCTAAGAACATGAGATCTGAAATGTGTTATCTTGTCTTGCTCGCATGCTTCTCTGCTGCTCGGTCTTGTCTTCCTGCTGACGTACCCTCCCTTGGCCCCTCGGTTCTCCTGCAGGTAATCTGGGGAACATCTACGCGTTCTACAAGGGATTCTACATGTGCAAGGAGATGGGTCTCGTGGACCGCATTCCCCGTCTGGTGAGAACACCTTCCCCTCTCCCTTTCATCCCCGTCCTCCTCATACCCCTTCCCCTCCCCCCCCCCCCCTCCCTCTTCGTACTCTTCACTTCGTGTTTCAAGTGGTTTTGCGCGACTGACGAAGCTCGCCGTGCTATGAGGGCCAAGGACGATCTTAAAACATAATGACAAGCATATGGCTGAATCACCGCCTGTTGATAAATCATGTTACTGAGACCCCGTTGCTGTGAGCTTCGTAGAAACCGATTTTTGACCGCTTGCGTTTCTCTTGCCCTCGTAAGCGGTTTCCTCCTTTTGTGTCTTCTAACTCGGAGCCTTTCCCCTTCTCTGGCTATCAGAGTGACTTTTAGAATCTATTGCACCGCTCAAACAGGAGCTCAGCTTTGCGATGGCCGTTGATGATTCTAAATAAATTGACAAGCATATGGCTGAATCACCGCCTGTTGATATCCCATGTTACTGAGGCCTGCTGTGAAGCGTTTGAGTGAAGCTGCTTGTTTCGTTCACCTGTGTTTCGTGCCTGTGCAAACAGTAGCATGGTTTCATTGTCTCTCGTTCCTGAAGCCCTTTTTTGGCCATGCTTCTGTCGCCTTCGTCTGTCTGGGCTGAGTTGTGGTACCTTTGGGCCTTTTGTGGTTCAGTTCAGTCGTGGTTCGGTCTTTTTTTCTGCTTGGGCGGTCAAGTGTGGCAGATGTTGATTGAAGTATGCATAGTTCAGATGAGACGCATTCGTGCGTCCAGGAAAACTCAATTTCGCCCCTATCTGATGCCAGCTGCCCGCCTGCTTGCCTTTCTGAATTTCCCGTACGGTCGTCTTTCCTTCTTTCCCGTACGGTCATTTGTCTCTCGCGTTTTGGGTTTGGTTACTCGAGTCTGGAGGGACGAGTTGAGTTGGGGTAGTTGGAGGGGGGATGGTTGAGGGAGGAGGGTGTGATGAGCAATCTTTTATCACAGTTATCCCTGACTGAACTGTCATGTTGACTCATAAGTTGATGCTGACCCTCTTGATTCGATGGAGGGATAGGGTAGGGAGGACAGAGGAGGAGACTGGGTAGGGATAGGGGGAGGTCACGCGAAGGGGGAAAAGGAGGGTGTGATGAGCACATTTTTTTATCACAGTTATCCCTGACTGAACTGTCATGTTGACTCAAATTACTACGGTGCTGACCCTCTGGATGGATCTCGATGTAGGGAACGTGGTAGGTGTTAGTGAATGGTAGAGAGGATCAGGAGCTGGTGATGATGGCATTTGTGGCAGATGTTGATTGAAGTATGCATAGTTCAGATGAGATGCATTCGTGCGTCCGTGAAAAGCAAATTTTCGCCCCTATCTGATGCCACAAGTCCATCCATTGTCAACTGTTTGACTCTATAGTGAGGGTGTACGTGTTATGTTTCACTTGTTCTGTTTTTACCTGTGGCTGCGTTGTGAAAGGGGTATGATGAGCACTCTTTTTCACAGTTATCCCTGACCGAAAATGTCATGTGGACCCAAATTACTACGGTGCTGACCCCTTCAGTGCTCCTCGCCATTGGTTCCTCCTCAACTGTTGATCTCGTCTTTCCCCCTCGCTGTTCTCCTGCACACCCCACTCCATTTCCCCTTCTCTTCCCACTCTATCTCATCTGCGAGTGTGACCTTTTTGCGCTCTTCCATGGCCCCTGCTGACCTCCACCTCATCCTCACCCTTTTTTTTCCTCTCTCCCTCCCTCTCTTCTCACAGGTCTGCGCCCAGGCAGCCAACGCCAACCCGCTCTACCTGTCGTACCAGAAGGGCTTTGAGCAGTTTGAGCCTGTGAGGGCAACGCAGACCTTCGCCTCGGCCATCCAGATTGGCGACCCCGTCTCCATTGACCGAGCTATCTTTGCGCTCAAGGTGAGCTGCGGTGCATTCAGATTGGCGTTGGTATGCTGAGTGCTGTGAGCAGTGGGCCGAGAGCTGCAGAATGCTTGCCTCCGCCTTTTAGAGTGGTGGCTCCTTCTTACAGCCATCTTCACATGCCCAGTACCTGTTCGTAAGTGTCAGGGATTTCTGAATTCACTATCCATTCTCTCCATTTAGTTCAGTATGGGCCGTGACACCCTCGCTGCTGTGGGCAAATGCGCGTTCCCTTCTGAAGAGCAGCCATACTTTTCCATTCTCTCTTCAACTAATGCCCCATGCCATTCCTGTGCTTTCCCTGCCTTGCCTCTCTCTGCCAGGCGTCCAACGGCATTGTGGAGGAGGCCACAGAGCAGGAGCTCATGGATGCTGCTGCAGAGGCAGATCTCACTGGCATGTTCAACTGCCCACACACAGGAGTGAGTGCCTTTGCCACCTGCACTTCCATTTCCTTCTTCTTCCTCTCTTCCCTCCCTCCCTCCCCACTCCCCCCCTCCCCTCCCCCTGCTCCCCACCTCTTCCCCCCCTGCTCTTGCTCCCTTTCCCTTGTTTTGTGGTTCATCCCTCCCTCTACTATCTCCTTTTTCCTCCCTCGACCGTTGGTCTGGCTGTTAATGAGTTGACTGGTGTTTCGTCTCCATGCCACCCTTCCCCTGCGTGCTTCTACAGGTGGCTCTGGCTGCGCTGAAGAAGCTGCGGAGCCGGGGAGTGATTGGCCCCAATGATCGCACTGTCGTGGTCAGCACAGCACACGGCCTGAAGTTCGCACAATCCAAGGTAAAATTACACACCAATACGTCTCCTAAATTTGTGGGGTGTTGTGTTGGATCTGGGAGTTGCTGGCACTTGGCATGTGATAGTGTATCATGTCGGCGCATATGGTGTGTGACCTCCGTTTGCAACGATGTGCTTTCAGGTGGCTTATCATTCAAACGAGATCCCCGGTATGGTGTCGACATTCGCCAACCCCCCTGTGAGCGTGAAGGACAACTTGGGCAGCGTTATGGATGTGTTGAGAGAGCGCATTGCCAAATAACTTGATTATTAGCTTAGTAACAAGGGACCCGATCTTGTAGCCATATTAAACATCAGTTTTGTAAGCAAGTACAAAGTTTTGTTTTCTTGGATATATTTGGAGAGTTCCAAAAGTACATATCTGTATTATTAACCTAGCATGGTGATATATCATCTAGATTAGACGGGTGCTTATGGATACGTAAGTTTGTAAGTCTTATGTAGTATCTTATGAACAAAAACTTGCGAATGAGTGGCGGTGGCGACTGCCCTGCGAATCCCATGCGGCAGGTTCAGAAGAGCTGGGGCTGGTTGTTCGAGGCGCGAAGCGAGTCAGAATCTGACCTGACGAAGTGCGCGAAAGGTCGGCACTGCTGGACCAGCACGTTGTGAATAACGAGTCCAGGTTCCTACGTCCTCTAACGGGAATAAAATAGAGCAAGCTCGACTATTCCCGAGGCTGCAATTTCCCTGGTGAACAAGCCTCTCGCTAGAACAAGTTCCTAGTTTACTGTGTACTGGCTTTAGTGGTGAGGTGTATAGAAGTGCTGTCAGCGAGCGAGTAGAGGAGACTTTTTAGGAGAGGTGTGCCGACAATACGTAGTAGCAGCAGCAGCAGAAGAGACGGTTTTGATGATATTGACCAGGCGTACTAGAGCATCGTGTTGGTCACCAGTTACTGCTAGTTTTGTAGCGTATCTCGTAAGCTCCTGGTCGGCCTTGTTGTCTTTGAGAATGCTTCCGGAAGCTTGGACGTTTTTTAGCTTACGGTCGAATGCAGAGAGTGTTGGCGACAATTTTTGCGAAATTTCGCACGTCAGGCTTCTGGACACTAACAGAGACGCGTCAGGCTTTTTAGAGCCTCAAGTAGAGCCGTTCGTTAACGCCGTCGGCTACAGTCGTCGCTAGAACAGACTATGCTCATGCGACCAGTGAAGCTACCTGAATGTTGCAGTTACGGATGCCATAGAGTCGTCTCTATCTCGCCATTAGACTCCCACCACGAATGCTGCTAATGCTGCGGTGCTGCTTATAAGTTCCTTCGCCCAGTTCTGAGATGCCGAGTCGCTGCTGTCCCTCTCGTTTAGGCTTAGAGCAAGACGAAACGGCCTTCGTCACGAAACGCCATGGCGTTTCCACCCTTTAGTGACGGTCCCTCTAGTGACGGTCTCTCTACTTCTCGGCGACTACCACGTCAGTCGCACAGATCGCACGTACCACGCTGTAGAAGCTGTCTCTCGCGACGCCTGTAACGACATCAGTAACCACTTCCAGGCGACGACGAGGACAGTCACACAGATTCGCATGCACCTCGTTCTAGAAGCCTCCGCTATTAACTTCAGTGACCAAATAGGTAGCCTAGTCCAATTTCCTCCAATTCACGCTACTGCATTAGTCAAATACGAGCCAGCCTTATAATTATCCACGTGGTTAGAAAGCTGGAACCAGAATTAGGATACCTGTCGTCGCTGGTCTGACAGCCCCGCCGGTCTGACAGTCCCGGCCTGGCAGTCCTGGTCTGGCAGTCCCGGCCTGGCAGTCCCGGTCTGGCAGTCCCGGCCTGGCAGTCCCGGTCTGGCAGTCCCGGCCTGGCAGTCCCGGCCTGGCAGTCCCGGTTTGGCAGTCCCGGTCTGGCATTCCTTAGCTAGCCCAGGTATTTTTAGCAGCTTTCAAGCTGATCTGATTCCATCATTCGCCCGCAATAGCATAACAGCAGCAGCAGCAGCAGCAGCAGCAGCTACCAAACCTTCTTCGCATGCGTACAACAGCAGCTGCGTTCATGGCGCCCTCCAAACCATCTCATGGTCGCAATTCCCGGTTCCAGCATTCCACGCGTCCACTGACCCACCCTCGTCCAATCCCACTCTTCCTTCCCCACCATCGTCTCCTTCTCCCTCCCTACCTTCTACTCCTCCTCCTCGTCTTACTCACCCCGTCCTCTCCCCTCCTCAACGGTAGCCAGTCGCTCGGTGTTCCCCTAGCTCTCGCTGCTCCTTTCCGCGTCACCGACGCCTACAAGCCCGTCTGCGGAGGGCTTCCTGCGAACCCGCCGCGAAACGGTGCGTCCTGCTACGTCCCTCCCTCTGCTCCTAGCCCTGGCTGCTCCTCGCTGCTCCATTCCGCGTCACTGACGCCTACAAACCCGTCTGTGGGGGCCTTCCCGCGAACCCCCCCCCGTCATGGTGCATCCTGTTACATCCCTCCGTGCCCGCCTAGTTCTCGCTTCTCCCCGCTGCTCCCCACTGCTCCCCACTGCTCCCCGCTGCTCCTTTCCGCGTCACCGACGCCTACAAGCCCGTGTGCAGAGGGCTCCCTGCAGACCCGTCTCTCCATGGTTCGGCTACGTCTTCGTTTGTCGAGCATATATTTCCCAGTGGGCTGGGCGATGTCTCAGGCTGGAAGCGGTGGAGTGACCCCAAGACTTGGGGCCGCCAGTCCCTGGTCCCCTGGAAGTGGCGCAAAAAGCTTTCCCTCTCCCCGATTCTCCTCCCGTCCCTCCCTTTTTGTTCAGGCTGGAAGAGGTGGAGCGACCCAAAGACGTGGGGCCAGCAGTCCCTGGTCCCCTGGAAGTGGCGCAAGAAATTCAAGGGTTTACCTTTCCTCTTTGGCGTGCCTGGGCGCGGGTTGCTGCAGTGGAGGGATGTGACTATACCGTGCGGTGCGGCGATCCTGCTGGACATGCCTGAAGTGAGAGTTGGGAAGCTCAAGATCAAAGGCTGGCTCAAGTGAGTGTGACTGCTGCGAGTGTGACTGCTGTGAGGGTGACTTCTGTGTGTTTAATCCATAAAAAAACACATCTCCCCTTTTTCTTCGCCCAAGCTGCCTTACATCCGCGTCAAATTGTGCTTCATCCTCATTGGCCCGCCGCCTCGCCTTTTCTTAAAAAAACTCACAATTCATTCCTCCCCCATCCCCGCCTCCGGCCTCCCCCCCCCGTTTCCTCCCTCCAGAGTCCTGGACTCGCCCAAGCTCCCGCACATCCGCGTCAAAGCCCGTTTCATCCTCGTTATGGGCCGCCTCACTGCAGGCTCAGCGTCCCGCCAGCTGTCCTCGCGCCTCACAGTCACTCTGCACCCCAACACGGGCTACTCGGGCGGCAGAAAGCCGTACATGCTCCGAAAAGTGCCGCCTGCTGACAGAGGGAATCCCCGAGACCTGGGGCACAAGGCGTTTGCTGTGGTGAGTGTGACTCTGCCCCTCACATCACATCACATCACATCACATCACATCACATCACATCACATCACATCACATCACATCACATTTGTCCTGGTCTGAGGCGTGTCCCCCACTCGCAAAGGGAGCCCTCGGGACCTGGGGCACAAGGTGGGGGCGAAGCAGACACCCCCTCGTGGGTACGCCTGGCAGCAACAGCAGCAGCAGGGTCGCGGCAGCTGGTGACTGAGGGGGATGTGACGGCATGTGCACCTGGCTTGTCTGACCTACTATGTCCTCCTGTAATTTATCCGTCTCTTCCTTCTAAGTACGTTCTGCATCCCGATGCAACAGGTGGGTGGTCAAGTGGACCTGCACGGCATGCCGGGGGGGGCAGACACACCCTCGTGGGTGCGGCTGGCAGAAACAGCAGCAGCAGGGGGGAGAGAGATGGGCACACGCACTTTGATAACCCCACTTTCATTTTCGCCTTTGCCTGTATCATGCAACAGCTGGGCGGACAGGTGGACCTTCATGGCATGCCGGGGGGAGCAGACACTCCAGCAGTCGGGCAGAGGCACCTGATGGCTGAGGGGGATGTGACGCCATGTGCAACTATCCTTTTTGAACCATAGCATCCTTTTGTTCCTCCACTTCTGGATTCAACAGGTGACTTCTGAGTAGACTCGGAAGTCAGCTGGTGGTGGAGGGGGATGTGACGCCATGTGCGGCTGTCCTTTCTGAACCATAACATCCTTTTGTTCCTCCACTTCTGGATTCAACAGGTGGGCGGGCAAGTGGACCTACATGGCATGCCGGGGGGAGCAGACACTCCCTCGTGGGTGCGCTTGGCGGCAACAGCAGCAGCGGGGCAGAGGCAGCTGGTGGTTGAGGGGGATGTGACAGCGTGGCAACCGGGGTTCACTGTGGCTGTTGCTGCCACCAGCACGGATTTCAACGAGGCAGAGAGCAGGGAGATCGAATCAGGTGGGTGACTGGGTCTTGCCTTGAGGGCATGATATAGGTGCTGTAGGCCATGACTGCTGTTGCTGCCACCAGCACGAATTTCAACGAGGCAGAGAGCAGGGAGAGGCTGGTGAGTGAATGCGCGTGCGTTATGGTGGTTGGTGAAGGGCAGAGGCAGCTGGTGGCGGAGGGGGATGTGATGGCATGGCCACCGGGGTTCACTGTGGCTGTCACTGCCACCAGCACGGATTTCAGCGAGGCTGAGAGCAGGGAGATCGAATCAGGTGAGTCAGAAGGTCTTGCATTGAGGGCATATAGGTGCCTCGAGGCATGACTGTTGCTGTAGCTCCCACCAGCGCGGATTTGAATGAGGCAGAGAGCAGGGAGATAGAGAGGCCGGTGGGTGAGTAGGTCTTGCCTTATGGATTTATCGAATACCTCAACAGTGATTTGCCATCACTGTTGCTGTTGCTGCCAGCAGCGCGGATTCTAACAAGGCCGAGGGCCGGGAGATCGAACCAGGTAGCACTGGGGCTTGGGAGCAATGCTGGTTTTACTTTAACCACTCCGGTTGAAAGCACACCGGTCGAAAGCACACCGGTCGAAGGCACACTGGTGGAACGCACACCGGTGGAATGCGCACCGATCGAAAGCACACCGGTCGAAAGCACACCAATCGAAAGCACACCGGTCGAAAACACACCGGTGGAAGGCACACCGGTGGAATGCACACCGATCGAAAGCACACCGGTCGAAAACACACCGGTCGAAAGCACACCGGTCGAAAGCACACCGGTCGAATGCACACCGGTCGAAAGCACACAGGTCGAAAGCACACCGGACGAAAGCACACTGGACGAAAGCACACCGGACGAAAGCACACCGGTCGAAAGCACACCGGTCGAAAGCACACTGGTCGAAAGCACACCGGTGGAATGCACACCGGTGGAATGCACAACGGTGGAATGCACAACGGTCGAATGCACACCGGTTGAAAGCACACCGGTCGAATCCACACCGGTCGAATGCACACTGGTCGAAAGCACACCGGTCGAAAGCAGACCGGTCGAATGCACACAGATCGAAAGCACACCGGTCGAAAGCACACCGGTCGAAGGCACACCGGTCGAAGGCACACTGGTGGAAAGCACACCCGTCGAAAGCACACCCGTCGAAAGCACACCCGTCGAAAGCACACAGGTCGAAAACACACTGGTCGAAAGCACACTGGTCGAAAGCACACAGGTCGAAAGCACACCGGTCGAAAAAACACCAGTCGAATGCACACCGGTGGAATGCACACCGGTCGAAAGCACACTGGTCCAATGCACACCGGTCCAATGCACACCGGTCCAATGCATGCTGTTCGAAAGCACACCGGTGGAATGCAAATGGTCGAATGCACACCGGTCGAAAGCATAGCGGTTGAATGCACCTCGGTCGAATGCACACACCGGTGGAAAGCACACCGGTCGAAAGCAGACCGATCGAATGCACACAGATCGAAATCACACCGGTCGAAAGCACACTGGTCGAAGGCATACCGGTGGAATGGACACCGGTGGAATGCACACTAATCGAAAGCACACCGGTCAAGAGCACACTGGTCGAAAGCAGACCGGTCGAAAGCACACCAGTCGAAAGCACACTGCTCGGAAGCACACCGATCGGAAGCACACCGGTGGAAAACACACCGGTTGAAAGCACACCGGTCGAATGCACACCGATCGAAAGCACACTAGTCGAAAGAACACCTGTCGGAAGCACTCCGGTGGAATGCACACCGATCGCAAGCACACCAATCGAAAGCACACCGATCGAAAGCACACCGGTCGAAAGCACACAGGTCGAAAGCACACCGGTCGAAGGCACACCGGAGGAATGCACACCGATGGAATGCACACTGATGGAATGCACACCGGTCGAAAGCACACTAGTCGAAAGCACACTGGTCGAAAGCACATCGGTCGAAAGCACACTGGTCCATGCACACCGGTCGAAAGCACACCAGTCGAATGCACACAAGTCGAAAGCACACGGGTCGAAAGCACAATGGATGTAAGCATACCGATCGAAAGCACACCAGTTGAAAGCACACCGGTCGAAGGCACACGGGTGGATTGCACACGGGTGGAATGCACACCAATTGAAAGCACACCGGTCGAAAGCACACCGGTCGAAAGCACACCAGTCGAAAGCACACTGGTTGAAGGCACACCGGTGGAATGGACACCGGTCGAAAGCACATTGGTCGAAAGCACACCGGTCGAAAGCACACCCACCGGTCGAAATCACACCGGTCGAAAACACACCGGTCAAAAGCACACCGGTCGAAAGCACACCAGTCGAAGGCACACCAGTGGTATGCACACCGATGGAATGCACACCGGTCGAAAGCACACCAGTCGAAAGCACACCAGTCGAAAGCACACCGGTCGAATGCACACCTGTCGAAAGCACAGCGATCGAACGCACACCGCGTCGAAAGTACACCGGTCAAAGCACACCGGTCGAAAGCACACCGGTTGAATGCACACCGATCGAAAGCACTCTGGTCGAAAGCACACCGGTCGAAGACACACCGGTGGAATGCAGATTGGTGGAATGCACACCAATGGAATGCACACTGGTGGAATTAGGCATGAGTAGGGGGCGAGTCGAGCCTCGACTCATCCGAGCCGAGTCTCGACTCGTTCGAGTCGGGCCAAACCCGGGTCGAGTCGGACCCAACCCGGGTCGAGTCGGACCCGAGTCGCCCCCCCCAAGATTCCGACTCGAGACTCGGGTTTTTCAACATTCTCGCCAGAAAATGACTTCCAACCGAATTCCCCCAATTCAACCGCACTGAACCCGATTGCAACTACGAAATCCAACCCGCCGCCGTCTAATGTGCTCTCTACAGTCGAATTCCTACCAGATTCCCCCACTTCAACCGCACTGAACCCGTCTGCAACTACGGAATCCAATCAACCCCCCGCCCCTCTAACATGCTCTAAACTAATTCCACGCTATCCCTGTCTTGTCAATTCCGCTGACCTAATTTTGCTTGAGAAGCCACCATATCGTCTCCTAGAACTTACCTCTCGCTAAGCCTAGACCCTTAGTTGCCCGGATTTTTTTCCGCCTGCCTGTTCGAGCGTATATTAAGCGTTTGGTAGGCCAAAAATCAAGCGTTTAGCGTTTAAATGCTGGCGTCCAAAACGCCAAACGCGTTTCTGGTCGCTTAACAGGAAATTCCACTGTCCTATATATGAGAGAAATGTCTCGGTCGAGCCAATTTATGACTCGACTCGGGTGCGACTCGGTGCAAATTCCCAGACCGAGTCAAGCAAAACTCGAAACTAGGTCGACTCGACCCGACTCGACTGAGGCCGAGTCAGAGGAGTCAAAAAAAGGGCGAGTCGAGTCATCGAGTCGAGTCAAAACTCGAGTCGGTTGCCCATCCCTAGGTGGAATGCACACCGGTCGAAAGCACACCAATCGAACGCACACCGGTCGAAAGCACACTGGTCGAAAGCACACTGGTCGAAAGCACACCGGTGGAATGCACAATGGTCGAAAGCACAGCGGTCGAATGCACACTGATCGAAAGCACACCGGTTGAAAGCACACTGGTCTAAGGCACACCGGTCGAAGGCACACCGGTGGAATGCACGCCAGTGGAATGCACACCGGTTGAAAGCACAACGGTCGAAAGAACACCGGTCGAAATCACACCGGTTGAAAGCACACCGGTCGAAAGCACACCGGTCGAATGCATCCGGTCGAGAGCACACCGGTCGAAAGCCCACCGGTCGAAAGCACACCGGTCGAAAGCACACCGGTCGAAGGCGCACCGGTGGAATGCAGACTGGTCGAATGCACACCGATCAAAAGCATACCGGTGGAAAGCACACCGGTCGAGTGCACACTGGTCAAATGCACACCGGTCGAAAGCACACCGGCCGAAAGCACACCAGTCGAAAGCACATCGATCGAAAGCACACTGGTCGAAGCACACTGGTCGAAGCACACTGGTCGAAGCACACTGGTCGAAGCACATCGGCCGAAAGCACACCGGTCGAGAGCACACCGGTCGAAAGCACACCGATGGAGTGCACAACGGTCGAAAGCACACCGGTGGAGTGCACAACGGTCGAAAGCACACCGGTCGAAAGCACACTGGTCGAAAGCACACCGGTCGAAAGCACACCGGTTGAAAGCACTCTGGTCGAAAGCACTCCGGTCGAAAGCACACCGGTCGAAAGCACACCGGTCGAAAGCACACCGGTCGAAAGCACACCGGTCGAAAGCACACCGGTCGAAAGCACACCTGTCGAAAGCACACCGGTTAGAGGAGCATGCTGCTCCAGGCATGCTGCCCTAGTAATGCAGCCCTTGACTTGCGTGGTGGGTGGACTTGCGCACAGAGGTTGCACACCGGGGGGGCGTGGTTGCATACCCCTCGCCCCCCCAACAGTCACCCTACCTAGTGTATCCAACAACTTTGCGCATCACCCTCACCTCACCCCCCTCCCACACGCACGAGGATGGATCAGTGTGCCAGCTGACTTTCTCAGTGCCACCATCAACGTCCGCTTTTAAGTCGACTCAAAAGCAGTCCCATGCGCATGAGGATGGATCAGTGTGCGTGCTGGCTTTCGCGGTGCCACCATCAACATTCCCCCCCCCCCTCCCCTCCTGCTCCCTGTCCCTATCATTCCCCCTACAGTCACCCTTGTTTGCCCCGCCACGTCACCCCTCACCTCATCCCTCTTCCACACGCTCGAAGGATCAGTGCCGGATGCCTCTAGCAGTACCCTGGCATCCAATTCTTCCTCCCATCCCCCTCCCCCCAGCAGTAACCCTGGTTTCACCGACCACGTCTCGCATCACCCTCACTTCGCCCCTCTCTCACACGCATGGGGCACATTGGTGCCGGGTGGCTTTGGCGGTACTGCCGTCTTCAACCATCCTTACCTCTTCCGCCTCCCCTCCTCCACTCCCAATTCCCCCCTGCAGTCACCCTTGTCCCCCCAACAACTTCCCGCATCACCCTCAGCTCGCCCCTCCCACACACACGAGGGCACATCGGTGCCGGATGGCTTTGACAGTACTGCTGTCTTTAACCATCCTTAACTCTTCCGCCTCCCCTCCTCCACTCCCAATTCCCCCCTGCAGTCACCCTTGTCTCCCCAACAACTTCCCGCATCACGCTCACCTCGCCCCTCTCTCACACGCACGAGGGCACATCGGTGCCGGATGGCTTTGGCGGTACCATCGACATTCGTGCTGAGGTGGCGATGCTGGATAGGCGGATTGTCATTCAGGGGACGGATGAGCCCGCCCCACACCAGTACGACGGTAAGGCATGCGCAGGGGGGGATCGGTGAAGGGCGGCTTTGGCGGTAGCTTCGATATTCGTGCTGAGGTGGAGATGCTGGATAGGCGGATTGTCATACAGGGCACAGACGAGCCCACACCACACCAGTACGACGGTAAGTAAGGCAGGCACTAATGCATGCTAAAAGAACGTTCTGTTGAAAGTACGTCCTCCCCCGTTCTCTTCCCCACACCAGAACTTTGCAGTCCCTCTCGTACCCCACTCACCACCACCATTTGAACCCCCCTTTCCCCCTGCCTCTCACTCACCACCAGGCGGCCACTTCATGGTGTATATGACGCCCGCCCCGCAGACCATCGAGGGCGTGCAGTTCCGGGGTCTGGGCCACCAGGGCACGCTGGGGCGCTACCCCTTGCACTTACACGCGTGGAGGCTCCTGGGGGGGGAGACCTCCTCTCAACGCGTCCCCTGAGACCATCCCTTGCTCCTCGCGTCCTTTTCCCCCCTCCACCAGGCGGCCACTTCATGGTGTATATGACGCCCACCCCTCAGACCATTGAAGGGGTGCAATTCCGGGGTCTGGGCCACCAGGGCACCCTGGGCCGCTACCCCCTGCACTTCCACGTGTGCGGGCTCCCCCTTTCCTCCCCTCATCTCCCCTGAATCCCCTCTCTCTCCCCCCTCCCCCTCCCCCCTACAGGCGGCCACTTCATGGTGTATATGACGCCCACCCCGCAGACCATCGAGGGTGTGCAGTTCCAGGGTCTGGGCCACCAGGGCACGCTGGGGCGCTACCCCTTGCACTTACACGTGTGCAGGCCACCAGGGCCACCAGTGCCACCAGGGCACCCTGGGCTGCTACCAGGGCATGCTGGGGCGCTACCCCCTGCACTTGCACTTCACTTCCGCTGCTGCACCTCAGCTCATGGCCTCCCTGATTCCCAACACCCGCCCCCCTTCCCCCGCCCCCCTTCCCCTTCCCCGTCCCCCTTCCCCCTTCCCCCTTCCCCCGTCCCCCTTCCCCGCCCCCCTTCCCCCTTCCCCCGTCCCCCTTCCCCTGTCTCCGTTCCATCCACCAGGCGGCCACTTCATGGTGTATATGACGCCCACCCCTCAGACCATAGAAGGGGTTCAGTTCCGAGGACTGGGCCACCAGGGCACGCTGGGCCGCTACCCTCTGCACTTCCACGTGTGCGGGCTCCCGGCAGACGCATCTCAGCCGCACGTTGTGCGAAAGAACGCGATCGTGCACACGAAGCAACGTTGTATGGTGATCCATGCTACGAGCAACATGAGTATAGAGGACAACGTCACCTATGAGACCAAGGGGCACTGTTTCTTAGTGGAGGAAGGGTCGGAGACTGGGAATGTGTTTCGGAGGAACCTGGGGATGAGTGTGCGGCAGGTGGAGCGGGTGATTCCGCCGGACACGAGTGACCCGTACGGGTTTCACACGGACAAGCAGCCGAGTGTGTTTTGGCTGGCCACTCCCTTCAACAGCTTCTTTGGGAATGTGGCTGCTGGGTCGGACAACAGCGGGTGAGTTGAGTCTGGCCATGTGGGGTAAGACAGGGAGGGGAAGGGGAGGAGGGGGGCAATCTTGGGTGCTTGGGCAATCTTGGGTGCTTGGGCAATCTTGGGTGCTTGAGCGATCTTGGGTGCTTGAGCAATCTTGGGTGCTTGGGCGATCTTGGGTGCTTGGGCGATCTTGGGTGCTTGGGCAATCTTGGGTGCATGGGCGAACCTGGGTGCTTGGGCGATCTTGGGTGGTTGGGCGATCTTGGGTGCTTGGGCGATCTTGGGTGCTTGGGTGACCTTGGGTGCTTCGGAGAGCTTGGGGGGTTGGGCGATCTTGGGGGGTTGGGCAATCTTGGGTGCTTGGGTGATCTTGGGTGCTTGGGCGATCTTGGGTGCTTGGGCGATCTTGGGTGCTTGGGCGATCTTGGGTGGTTGGGCGATCTTGGGTGCTTGGGCGATCTTGGGTGGTTTGGCGATCTTGGGTGGTTGGGCAATCTTGGGTGGTTGGGCGATCTTGGGTGGTTGGGCGATCATGGGTGGTTGGGCAATCTTGGGCGCATGGCCGATCTTGGGTGCTTGGGCGATCTTGGGTGGTAGGCGATCTTGGGTGGTTTGGCGATCTTGGGTGCTTGGGCCATCTTGGGTTCTTGGGCGATCTTGGGTGCTTGGGCGATCTTGGGTGCTTGGGCGACCTTGGGTGCTTGGGCGATCTTGGGTGGTTGGGCGATCTTGGGTGCTTGGGCGATCTTGGGTGATTGGGCGACCTTGGGTGCTTGGGCGATCTTGGGTGGTTGGGCGATCTTGGGTGCTTGGGCGATCTTGGGTGCTTGGGCGATGTTGGGTGGTTGGGCGATGTTGGGTGGTTGGGCGATCTTGGGTGCTTGGGCGATCTTGGGTGATTTGGCGATCTTGGGTGGTTGGGCGATCTTGGGTGGTTGGGCGATCATGGGTGGTTGGGCGATCTTGGGAGCATGGCCGATCTTGGGTGCTTGGGCGATCTTGGGTGGTTAGGCGATCTTGGGTGGTTTGGAGATCTTGGGTGGTTGGGCGATCTTGGGTGCTTGGGCGATCTTGGGTGGTTTGGCGATCTTGGGTGGTTGGGCGATCTTGGGTGGTTGGGCGATCTTGGGTGGTTGGGCGATCATGGGTGGTTGGGCGATCTTCGGCGCATGGCCGATCTTGGGTGCTTGGGCGATCTTGGGTGGTAGGCGATCTTGGGTGGTTTGGCGATCTTGGGTGCTTGAGCCATCTTGGGTTCTTGGGCGATCTTGGGTGCTTGGGCGATCTTGGGTGCTTGGGCGACCTTGGGTGCTTGGGCGATCTTGGGTGGTTGGGCGATCTTGGGTGCTTGGGCGATCTTGGGTGATTGGGCGACCTTGGGTGCTTGGGCGATCTTGTGTGGTTGGGCGATCTTGGGTGCTTGGGTGATGTTGGGTGGTTGGGCGATCTTGGGTGCTTGGGCGATCTTGGGTGATTTGGCGATCTTGGGTGGTTGGGCGATCTTGGGTGGTTGGGCGATCATGGGTGGTTGGGCGATCTTGGGAGCATGGCCGATCTTGGGTGCTTGGGCGATCTTGGGTGGTTAGGCGATCTTGGGTGGTTTGGAGATCTTGGGTGGTTGGGCGATCTTGGGTGCTTGGGCGATCTTGGGTGCTTGGGCGATCTTGGGTGCTTGGGCGATCTTGGGCGCTTGGGCGACCTTGGGTGCTTGGGCGATCTTGGGTGCTTGGGCTTTCTTGGGTGCTTGGGCGATCTTTGGTGCGTGGGCGATGTTGGGTGGTTGGGCGATCTTGGGTGCTTGGGCGATCTTGGGTGGTTGGGCGACCTTGGGTGCTTGGGCGATCTTGGGTGCTTGGGCGATCTTGGGTGGTTGTGCGATCTGGGTGGTTGGGCGATCTTGGGTGGTTGGGCGATCTTGGAAGGTTTGGCGATCTTTGGGTGGTTGTTCGATATTGGGTGGTTGGGCGATCCTGGGTGGTTTGGTGATCTTTGGGTGCTTGGGCGATCTTGGGTGCTTGGGCGATCTTGGGTGGTTGGGCAATCTTGGGTGGTTGGGCGATCTTGGGTGCTTGGGCGATCTTTGGGTGCTTGGGCGATCTTGGGTGCTTGGGCGATCTTGGGTGGTTGGGCGATCTTGGGTGGTTGGGCGATCTTGGGTGGTTGGGCGATCTTGGGTGGTTTGGCGATCTTTGGGTGCTTGGGCCATCTTGGGTGCTTGGGCGATCTTGGGTGGTTGGACGATCTTTGGGTGCTTGGGCAATCTTGGGTGCGTGGGCGATCTTGGGTGCTTGGGCGACCTTGGGCGCTTGGGCGATCTTGGGTGCTTGGGCGATCTTGGGTGCTTGGGCGATCTTGGGTGGTTGGGCGATCTTGGGTGGTTTGGCGATCTTGGGTGCTTGGGGGATCTTGGGTGGTTGGGCGATCTTGGGTGCTTGGGCGATCTTGGGTGGTTGGGCGATCTTGGGTGGTTTGGCGATCTTGGGTGCTTGGGTGATCTTGGGTGGTTGGGCGATCTTGGGTGGTTGGGCGATCTTGGGTGGTTGGGTGATCTTGGTTGGTTGGGCGATCTTGGGTGCTTGGGCGACCTTGGGTGCTTGGGCGATCTTGGGTGCTTGGGTGATCTTGGGTGCTTGGGCGATCTTGGGTGGTTGGGCGATCTTGGGTGGTTTGGCGATCTTTTGGGTGCTTGGGCGATCTTTGGGTTCTTGGGCGATTTTGGGTGCTTGGGCGATCTTGGGTGGTTGGGTGATCTTTGGGTGCTTGGGCGATCTTGGGTGCTTGGGCGACCTTGGGTGCTTGGGCTATCTTGGCTGGCTGGGCTATCTTGGGTGGTTGGGCGATCTTGGGTGGTTGGGCGATGTTGGGTGCTTGGGCGATTGTGGGTGCTTGGGCGATCTTGGTTGCTTGGGCGATCTTGGGTGGTTTGGCGATCTTTGGGTGGTTGGGCGATCTTGGGTGGTTGGGTGATCTTGGGTGGTTGGGCGATCTTGGGTGCCTGGGCGACCTTGTGTGCTTGGGCTATCTTGGGTGGTTGGGCGATCCTGGGTGCTTGGGCGATCTTGGGTGGTTGGGCGATCTTGGGTGCTTGGGCGATCTTGGGTGGTTGGGCGATCTTGGGTGCTTGGGCGAACCCTCCAGCCTCCAATTCCCTCCCCAGCAGTTTCTGGCTGGAGGCCAACCCCACCATGCGGGGCTTTCTTGCGTGCTGCCTTGAACTCGCCCATCGTCTTCCCTTCCCCTTTTCATGCCCGCGCCACGTCGCAGCTTCTGGCTGGAGGCCAACCCCACCATGCGAGGTCTCTCCCGCCTGCTGCCTGCCATCGGCAACAAACGGCCAGACAGGTGGGCGTGTGAGCATGGGAGCATGGGAGCATGGGAGCATGGGGTTGTATGAGTGTGTGAGCATGACATGTCTTCTCACCCCTCTCTGGCTGTTGGCCAACCCCACCAGGCGAGGTCTCTCCCTCCTGTTGCCTGCCATCGGCAACTAACGGCCTGACAGGTGGGCATGGAAGCATGGGAGCATGGGGGTATGTGAGTGTGTGAGCATGACATGTGAACATGTGATGGCACCTACCCTCATGTCCCACAGTCCGCCTTTTCTCCCTTCTTCACCTAGTCCGCCTGTCCCCCCACACCCCTCCCCCACACCCCTCCCCCCCGGTCCCTACTATATTTTGCCTGCAGGTTTAACTGGGGAGAGTACGTGGGCAATGTTGCACACTCCTCCCTCTTTGGCTTCCGCACCTACCCACACGGCTCGCAGTCCCGCTTCCCCAACTACAACGGCACTATTACCTATCTTAAGGACTCGCTCTTCTACAGGAATAAGGCCGGGTGAGTGGTGGTGCGCTTACCCCTTTGGCTTCCGCACCTACCCGCATGGCTCGCAGTCCCGCTTCGCCAAATACAATGGCACTATCACCTATTTTAAAAAATCACTCTTCACCGAAACAAAGCAGGGTGAGTGAAACAGAGCAGTTGGGCAGTTGAGCAGCTGTGTCGTACTTTCCTGGGGCATTTGTTGAGAACTGGTTACTTTTGAGTTGTCCGTCCCCTTCCCCGCCCCGCCCCGCCTCACCAATCGTCCATTCCCCCCCTTGTCCTAGCTCTCACCCGTCCCTCGCTCCCTGCTTCCTGTTTTTGAAGAATGCAGGAAATATGGTTCCAGTCTTCCTCCTTTCTCCTGTCCATGCGTGAGGAGTCTATTTTTGAGGCGCCTCAAAAATGGTTCTACTCTCCCTCCTTTCTCCTGCCCCCACCCCACTCCCCCCCCCTTCCCCCTCACCCCCCCACACCACCCCAGCATCCTATTTGTGAACACCAAGCGCATTGTGGTGGAGAATGAGGCATTTTCGGAGAATGTGGGAAAGACGATTCTCCTCTCCCTCCTCCTCTCGTGTACCCCCCCCCCCCCCCCCTCCTCTCTCCCCTCCCCCATCACTCAGCATCCTATTCGTGAACACCGAGCGCATAGTGGTGGAAAACGGGGCCTTTGTGGAGAATGCATACGGGATGGACATCAGCCGAAATGGGGGTGTGACGGTCAAGGGCTGCCGTTTTGTGGGCACGCTGCCATCAACTTGCACGTGAGACTGTCCTTCGCATGTGAGACTGTCCTTTGCACGTGAGACTGTCCTTTGCACGTAAGACTGCCCTTTGCACGTGAGACTGCCCTTTGCACGTGAGACTGCCCTTTGCACGTGAGACTGTCCTTTGCACATGAGACTGTCCTTTGCACGTGAGACTGCCCTTTGCACGTGAGACTGCACGTGAGGCGCATCAGTCCCTTTTTCTGGTGCATTTGTCCTTCCTCCCTTGTCCTTCCTCCCTTGTCCTTCCTCCCTTGTCCTTCATCCCACCTGTTTGCCCATCTGTTTCCCAGCTCCAAAACGGGGAGGTGTTTCGCAGACGTAACAGGATGCATTGTCCCCTCCCTTGGTGCTGCACCCCCGTGTCCCTCTGCCTCTGTTGCTCAGTGCGAAGGCCAGAAGTGCCCTCCGCAGCAGCAGCATCAGCAGCAGCAGAACCAGCAGCGCCAGGGGCAGCAGTATCGGCAGCACCAGCCTTGCCAGCAGCAGTATTGCCAACAAGAGCAACCAGATTCTAGCCACAGCAGCAGCAGCTGCAGCTTCCCCCCTCACCCCTCCTCCTACCCCCCTCCTCAGTCCCCACCAAGGCCCCACCACAGAGTGGGAGCCTCCCGGCCTGGCAGACGCCATAAGACCCTGGGCTGAGTTCCTCTACCCCCTGCCCAGTTGGGGCACAGGTGACAGTGACTATAGTGATGGTACCGGGGGCTTGGGTGACTATAGCGAGTATGGGGACTATGCTGATGGGGATGGTGATGGGGCGAATGGGACTGGCAGCAGTGGTAGTACCAGCAGCGGCAGCAGTGGCAGCACGGGGAATAGCACGGGCAACAGCATGGGCAGCAGCAGTGGCGACAGCACAGGGAGCCGCGGTGGAGAGACGGAGTTGGCATACAACATAACAGCAGGGGAGGTGCCTCCTTGGGCTGAGAGCTACTGGCTAGGGTACTGGAGGGAGGGTGAGGGAGGTGCAACTGCTGCTCGTGCTGCTACTGCTTCTGCTGGTGCTGGTGCTGGTGCTGGTGGTGTTGCTGCTGGTGGTGGTGAGGGTGTGGCGGGACAAAGGGTTTCTCTTATGAGAAGTGACGACAGAGTGCATGAGGCAGAAGCGCGGCCACAGAAGGAAATTGGAGACGGGTCGTTTGACTCGCCCATTGGGGTGACTCTCAGCCAGAGCAACCCGGCTGACATCCTACGACCGTCCTCGGTTGAAGATTCCTTGTGAGTTGAAATTCTGCATTGTGGGGCCTGACTCGACTGATTCGATTTTTGAGGCGCCTCAAATAGACTCTACTGATTCATGACTCGCCCCTATGGGTGGCATGCTGTACAGTTGACATCCTGCGACCGCCCCTCGTTTTGAGGTGCCTCAAAAGCTGCGTGATGGGAGTGTAGTTTTGAGGCATCTCAAAACTCGTCCCTATGGGTGACATACTGTACAGCTGACATCCTGCGACCGCCCCTTGGAGTGATGCCAGTTGGCATGCTGCAACCGCCCTCTGTACAAAGTTTCCTTGTGAGTGGAAAGAGTCCTCTGACTTGTGACTCGCCCATTGGGGTCACGCTCAGCCAGAGCAACGGGATATGAGGGCACGGGATATGAGGGCATGGGATATGAGGGCATGGGATATGAGGGCATGGGATATGAGGGCATGGGATATGAGGGCATGGGATATGAGGGCATGGGATATGAGGGCATGGGATATGAGGGCATGGGATATGAGGGCATGGGATATGAGGGCACGGGATATGAGGGCATGGGATATGAGGGCACGGGATATGAGGGCATGGGATATGAGGGCATGGGATATGAGGGCATGGGATATGAGGGCATGGGATATGAGGGCATGGGATATGAGGGCATGGGATATGAGGGCATGGGATATGAGGGCATGGGATATGAGGGCATGGGATATGAGGGCATGGGATATGAGGGCATGGGATATGAGGGCATGGATATGAGGGCATGGGATATGAGGGCACGGGATATGAGGGCATGGGATATGAGGGCATGGGATATGAGGGCATGGGATATGAGGGCATGGGATATGAGGGCATGGGATATGAGGGCATGGGATATGAGGGCATGGGATATGAGGGCATGGGATATGAGGGCACGGGATATGAGGGCATGGGATATGAGGGCATGGGATATGAGGGCATGGGATATGAGGGCACGGGATATGAGGGCATGGGATATGAGGGCATGGGATATGAGGGCATGGGATATGAGGGCATGGGATATGAGGGCATGGGATATGAGGGCATGGGATATGAGGGCATGGGATATGAGGGCATGGGATATGAGGGCATGGGATATGAGGGCAGGGGATATGAGGGCATGGGATATGAGGGTACGGGATATGAGGGCACGGGATATGAGGGCACGGGATATGAGGGCATGGGATATGAGGGCATGGGATATGAGGGCACGGGATATGAGGGCATGGGATATGAGGGCATGGGATATGAGGGCATGGGATATGAGGGCATGGGATATGAGGGCATGGGATATGAGGGCATGGGATATGAGGGCATGGGATATGAGGGCATGGGATATGAGGGCACGGGATATGAGGGCATGGGATATGAGGGCATGGGATATGAGGGCATGGGATATGAGGGCATGGGATATGAGGGTACGGGATATGAGGGCATGGGATATGAGGGCACGGGATATGAGCATTTTCTCAGCTTCTCGATGCATTTTTATGGCGTCTGCGCCATTTTCTTGATAGGCGTTGCAGGTGATTTTTGAGTCGACTCAAAAATTTCCCACTCCCCTCCCTCAAAACCCCCTCGTCTCCCCCCCTGAAACCCCCCTCTCCTCAGCTTCTCTGGCTACGGCGCCTGCACTACTGGCAGCTCTGACGCCATGCATATGCGCCCCTGCTCCCTTTCAACCTATTCTCACCCCCCCCCCTTCACCCTTCCCTCCCTCCCCCTTTCTTGTGTCCTCAGCTTCTCTGGCTACGGTGCCTGCACCACTGGCAGCTTTGGCATCGCTCTTGTGACCAACAAGCCTGGCGGCTACTGGAACACTGCCTTCTTTGTTCAGGTGGGAATGCGTCGGGAGCAGCACTTGGTGGTGGTTTTAGCCATACGTGGCAGCAGGCTTATAGAACACTGTGTTCGAAAAAAGAAGAAAAAAAAATCTTGCTCGAAGAAAGAACTCTTGTTCAGTTGGGAATGCGTATCTCTCTGCATAGGTGTGAACACCTTCGCTTGCCCCTCGCTCACCCCTTCGCTCGTCCTTCGGTTGCCCCTCGCTCTCGTGACCAACAAGCCTGGCCGCTACATTCTTTGTGCAGGTGTGAACACCTGTCTTGCTAGTCCATCTCTCAAGCGGTCCATGTATTTCTGAAACCTGGGTACAACTAGGCACCGTTTGGCAAGAAAGGTGAGTACAAAGTGCCTACGCACACGGTGTGCCTATGACCACTCTAGTACCGGCTCCAGGTCCGCGAAGCAGTCAGCTGGAGAGAGGGTCCCTTCAGGTGAGCCGATGGGCGGGTGTTCTGCCTGGGCCGCCTCGTTCACCTTCTTGAGGTAGGACGCGGCCTGGCTCCGCTGGAGGGTGCAGGACCAACGCTGGCGGAACTGGTGTAGTCCATCTCTCTCTCTCTGAACTGCCTTCTGTGTTCAGGTGGGATTGCATGCCCCTTTGCTCAGGTGGGATTGCATGCCCCTTTGCTCAGGTGGGAATGCATGCCCCTTTGCTCAGGTGGGAATGCATGCCCCTTTGCTCAGGTGGGAATGCATGCCCCTTTGCTCAGGTGGGAATGCATGCCCCTTTGCTCAGGTGGGAATGCATGCCCCTTTGCTCAGGTGGGAATGCATGCCCCTTTGTTCAGGTGGATTGCATGCCCCTTTGCTCAGGTGGGAATGCATGCCCCTTTGTTCAGGTGGGATTGCATGCCCTTTGCTCAGGTGGGAATGCATGCCCTTTGTTCAGGTGGGATTGCATGCCCCTTTGCTCAGGTGGGAATGCATGCCCCTTTGTTCAGGTGGGATTGCATGCCCCTTTGCTCAGGTCGGTATACCTTGCTCCCTTCCCTCTCCCCTTAGCTCTCCCCTTGCTCTTGTACGCAACAAGGTCACTGCCTTCAACGTAGAAGTCGGAGCATGCATCTCTCTCGCAAGTCACTCTCTTTTGCTTCGCCGTGCATGACTTCCTCCTCTGTGCCACCCCCTCCTCCCCTTCCCTCTCCTCTCTTGTTCTTTTGCCAGCCTCCCTCCCCTCTCTGTCACCCCAACCCAACCCAACCCAACCCAACCCAACCCCTCTCCCTTCCTGTCGTTCCCCCTCATCCCCCCACCCCCCTTGGTTGTCTACTTTGCAGAATCTTTCCTTTGCGTTGGGCAGCAAGAGATTTTGGGCAACCCCAAACCCGGTGGGTGAATTGAGTCATCGATTGCATGGATGGGGGGTTGTACACGTGGGGGGGTGGGGTACACATAGGAGATGCATGGGGGGTTGTACGCATGGGGGGTTGTACGCATGGGGGGGTGTACGCATGGGGGGTTGTACACTTGGGGGGTTGTACACATGGGAGGTCTAATCGCCCGCTGCTGCGCCCTTAGGGACCGGGACGGCTCTCTCCTTGCCACGCCAGGGGTATTCGCCATGGCGCCTTACCCACCCATCCCCCCTCTGCCCCCACCCTCCCCACCTCCCCCCCCCCACCCCACTACAGCCCGCAACCATTCCCCCCAGGGGAGGCCTCATCGCTCGGTTCTACGCCCTCAGGGACTTGGACGGCTCGCTTCTCGGCACGCCAGGGGCTTTCGCCGTGGCGCCTTACTCCCCCATCCTGCCGCCTGCCTCTGTGCGCGCCAGCGTGTGCCAGTATCGGGGGGAGAGCGCAGTATACCAGTGTGAATCGGTGTGCTACAGAGCTGTCGGTGTGTTCTACCATGAATCTGGGGTGCGCCCCAATGGGATGGCTGGCTTGCCTGCCAAAGTCCTCCGGCCTTACAGGTGAGCGGTTTTGCCTCAAGTAATACTTTCTCGCCCATCCTACTTTCTTTCCTGCCTATAGGATGGCCGGCTTGCCTGCCAAAGTCCTCCGACCTTACAGGTGAGCGGAATTGCCTCAACCGAAACTTTTGCCCCAATCAAGCCGCCTGCCTCTGTGCGCGCCAGTCTGTGCCAGTACTGGGGGAGAGCGCAGTATACCAGTGTGAATCAGTGTGCTACCGGGCTGTGGGGATGTTTTACTACGAGTCAGGGGTGCAGCACAACGGGATGGGGGTCTGCCCTCTAAAGTCCTTCGGCCTTACAGGTGAGCGGTTGTGCCCCAAGTGATAATTTCTCGCCTATCCTCCTTGCTTTCCTGCCAATACAATGGCCGACTTCCCTGCCAAAGTCCTCCGGCCTTACAGATGAGCGGTTTTACCCTGAGACTCCCCCCCCATCTTGCCGACGGCCTCAGTGCTCGCCAGCATGTGCCTGTCCCGGCGAGATGGATGCCAGTCCCCATCCTGCCACCTGCCGCCAGCCTCTGTCCACAGCAGTTTGGGCAGCAGTCTGTCCACAGCAGTTTGTGCAGCAGTCTGTCCACAGCAGTTTGTGCAGCAGTCTGTCCACAGCAGTTTGTGCAGCAGTCTGTCCACAGCAGTTTGTGCAGCAGTCTGTCCACAGCAGTTTGTGCAGCAGTCTCTCTCTCATTGCTGTGTTCCCTCTTCCTCACTCCCACCAGCTACATCAACATAACAAGGGAGGAGGATGGAGAGACGTTCACTGCGTACGGCACGGACAACGACAACCCTGACAGCCCCCCTGCCGACCCCAAGCGCAATGCCTACCGTTACGTTACCGCCTCGCTGCTGGCTGGATACACCTATCGGTTCACCATCATCCCTGCTCCTACAAACAGCCTCTTCTACCCCACCTGGGCTCAGGTATGTGAGTGAGTGAGTGTGTGTGTAAGTGTGTGTGAGTGTGAGTGTGAGTGAGTGCGAGTGCACATGAACTGTTGTTTCTCCACCTGGGCTCAGGTATGTAAGTGTGAGTGCACAAGAGCCATTCATTCTCCCTTCTCAGTGCGTCGCTGCTGGCTGGCTACACCTACCGGTTCACCATCATTCCTGCTCCCACTAACAGCCTCTTCTACCCCACCTGGGCTCTGGTATGTGAGTGTGAGTGCACAAGAGCCATTCATTCTCCCTTCTCACTGCGTCGCTGCTGGCTGGCTACACCTATCGGTTCACCATCATTCCTGCTCCTATTAACAGCCTCTTCTACCCCATCTGGGCTCAGGTTGGTTCTCGTGGGTTTGTGAGTGAGTGAGAGTGCATCGGTCTAGTTGCTTGCGTGCTGCTGGCTGGGTACACCCTACCGGTTCACCATCGGCTACCTGGTACCCCTGCCCTACTTTTGCCATGCGGCTCAGGTGTTCATTTTGAGGCGCCTGAAGAGCACAGTCGCCTTAAGAGCACAGTCGCTGCATCCCTCTCACAACAGTCCTCGGACTGCGTCTTGCTTGCGTCTCCTCTGACTGCAGGTGTGGTCGTATGACAGGCGGCTGCGAGGGCTTTTGAGGCGCCTCAAAAGTCGCCTCAAAAGTTGCCTAAGAAACGGCCACTTCATCCCTCTCATAGCAATCCCCTCTTGTGTGCATCTCCTCTGACTGCAGGTGTGGTCGTATGACAGGGGGGGCTGTGAGGGGGGTTTGAAGATCAAGATAGAGGGCAAAGATCAGAGCACACAGTGGTTCGCCACTGACGCCCCCAGCCTGTGAGTCTCCTTTGCCTATCCCGATCCTCTTCCCTGCGTAATGAGCCTATTTTTTAGACAACTCAAAAATTTATGTGCCCAGCCTGAGTCTCCTTTGCCTATCCCAATCCACTCCCCAGCCTGTGAGTCTGGTTTGCTGTGAGCCCCCATCCCGTACCACTCTCCAACTGGTAAGGGGGGCTGCAAGTTAAGGATAGAGGCCACGGATCATAGCACTCACTGGTTTGCCACTGATGCTCCCAACCTGTGAAATCCTTTGTCTAATCTCAGACCTGTGATTCTCGTCTGCTCGTCCCCACCTGTGGCAGTGGGCCGAAGACTAGCATAGAGGCCTAATTACGGGTTGGAATATCAGCTGGCTGGGGATCAGAGCACTTAGTGGTTCGCCACTGATGCTCCCATGCTCCCAGCCCATCCCTCTGTCCCTTGATCTTTCCGTTCCCTTCCCCCTGACTTCTTCTTCCAGTCCTTGCTCGGGAGCCTTCAAGCACAAGACCTACAAGCAGTACCTCTGCCCCTCCAGAAGCCGTGCCTTCACTACCTGAAAGCTCTCCTCCCTTCCTCCCTCCCTGTCCTCCAGCCCTTGCTCAGGAGCCCTCAAGTACAAGACCTACAAGGAGTATCTGCCCCTCCTCGTCATCCACTCCTCTCCCCTTCTCCTGCTCTCTCCCCCTCTCCTGCTCTCTCCCCTTCTCCTGCTCCCTCCCCTTCTCCTGCTCTTTCCCCTTCTCCTGCTCCCTTTCCTTCTCCTGCTCCCTCCCCTTCTCCTGCTCTCTCCCCTTCTCCTGCTCTCTCCCCTTCTGCTCTCTCCCCTTCTGCTCTCTCCCCTGTCCTTCAGCCCTTGCTCAGGTGCCTTCAAGTACAAGACCTACAAGGAGTACCTCTGCCCCTCGTCTTCTTCAACTCCTCTGCTCCAAATGACTGTGGGCCCCACCAGCTATGGCGCTCTCGCTACAATGAAGCTCAACGTTTCCTCGCCTTCGTCTTGCTCTCCGTACGCCACACCCTTCCGTCCGTCACATGTCTTTTTGCCCTTCCCATGTCTTTTAATTAAGCCCCGTTGCTGCTTCTTTGTGCTTCTTTTACGTGCTCTGCATTTGCTTGTTCATATTTGTCTCCACATTCCCTTGAACCCTATCCAACCTTCTCAACCGTAGCTAATTTTGTATTTTCCCCGATTTTCTCCTTACGTAGTACTACCAGCCAGCACATGCTTATTAACGGGTGATATTCGTTGTTGTCTTTTGTATGTGTCCCCTTGTCATGGTCGTGGCAGCGCATGTTCCTGATGCGAGCATTACCAACACGCAAAGGTAATGTGTATAGTATAGTACTAATGTCCATCAGTTTTGCAGGTGTGTACAGACTTCGGGGGCCTTGTGATGTCCTAATTTTTAGCTCTGACCGAGGTTTAGTGTACTGTAGAGCTTACACCTGGAGCACACCGGACGCCCAGCGCAATACGTGGCAAATCAAAAACCACCGCCCATTAGCGTTGACACACGGGCAACGGCCCACTCGATGTGGGCTGTGAACAGAGCCAGCAGTGCAGCGCCATCATGACAGCAGTGACAAACATGCGGCACAAGACGAAAGATGTGCGCCGCAACTGTTTTCAGCACAAACTCCAGCCGCACTCGGAATAGCGCTCCGGCGAAGCTCAGCGAGCCTTTCGTTGAGCCTGCAAAGGTGCGTACGCCTGGCTGGGTTTGTTTGTGGCTTGAGCATTGCCGCATGAAAGTGAATGCTGACTTGGCAGCGAAATGGAGTCGCGATGCCCCGATGCTAGGGATCGTTCTCAACATCCGACAGCCAACCCAGGAACAGATTCGTAAAACAAATTCCCACACTCCACGCAACAGTTATTGTTGCGATACGAACCTTCAATTCGTAATGTAAGAAATCTCTAGAAGACGCCCCTAACATTTGAAACCGAAATGCGACTCCAAACTCCTCGCTACATTTCAGAGTATAAAAGGGAGCAAACCGAACCAGAGAAACTCACTCAACATCTCACCCGACAACCACCACTCTGGTGCTACACCAGAGAAACTCACTCTCGCTTGAAAGCGCCGAAACTTAAGACGGTAACTGCATGAACAATAACTCGCCAAAATATGCCACTCAAACCTATCCCGCAAAACTTCAAAATGGTAACCTTCGTGCCCGTGCGAAAGGCCCGCATGCCCTTGACGATGCCGTGAGAAACCCCTGCGCGTTTTTGTCTACCGGCACCCTGAAAAGTTTTGCTTCTCTGTCAGGCTCAAGGTGTAGAAGAATTACTGTGGAACTGTAAACCTCCTGGAACAGAATCTTTCCCACAGTTGAGTAACGAATCTTTGCTTTGCATTCATTCGAGTTTCCTCCCGTCACATGGGTGGTTGCAAGCGTGATGTGTGCCAGTTGTTGCCAATAGGAGTGGCTTGTTTATGGCGCTTCTGTGATTCGCCGCATTGCTCCAGAGGATCCGGACTGAAACCCGACTTGCCCTGCCATCCAGCTATTCGTCCCTTTCGGAAACGTGCATTGCGGTGCTGTAAAATCGCACCTGCGATTTGGACGGTCGCCTTGGAAGTTCATCACCACACACCCAGGGCCCAGGCCCCAATTTCACGGGCAGGTCTTCGGGCTTTTCTTCGTGCAGAATTCGCTCAGGGGGGTCTTCCCGCTCAGCCACCAATATTGTCAGTTCGCAGTCAGAAAGGGGGAAGGTAGCTGGATCTTCCCCCTTTCTGACTGCGAACTGACAATTGTAGCGATTCCTCCTGAACTTCATGGCAAAACAACAACTAATTTTCACCCTTCACCAACAAAAAATCACCTGCTAGCCTTGCCTTCTCTCTCGTTTTCCCCGTGTTCCCCTCTGCAAGCATAACCTTCTCTTCCGCGCCCACCCTGTCTTCTGTTCTCTCCTCTCCTCCACTCCCTAGCCGGCTGTGCTGTACAAAGCAGACCATCAGGCGTCCCAAACCAAGGGTACCATGGATTACGGTTGGGTGAGATACTCCCTGTGTTAGAAGGTTTGAATGGAGATTGGAAACGTTTGGGTACGGTATTCACAACAAACCGAACCATGCGCGCTCCCTAGCTCTTCCCTCCCCTCCCCTCCCATCCATCACACCAGCTGCTTTCAGCTGCACAACATTACAGCCAACACCGCCACGCCTCAGGCCTTCGTAATTGCCGGAAGCCTCTACAACCTCGCTGCCGCCCAAGCCAAGCCTAGGCTTCTCGTCCACCCTCCCTCTCATCCATGTCTCCCGCACGGCCTGTTCCGACAATCCCCATGGATTTCCTCAGCGAAAATATCGCCGCGCGTGGCTCTGCGAGAAATTTCGCGATCGTCCAGAGGGGGAGGGAATCTGGACGGCTTTCTAGCCAAAGATAGCGGCGGCAGCCATGTAGCTTGCTGTCAGTCAGCGAGCGGCGCTTGAAATGGTGGCAACTTTCAAGTTGCACGTGGGGGTGAATCTGGCACGTAGCAACCGGTTACTAATGCATTTCGCCCAATGTAAGTTTGCAGCCCGTTACACGATCCGTACCTCTGGTACTACGAGCCCTTTCGTAAGAGCCAGTGTCCGCAGAAGCTCGCATGGCCTGCCGGCGCCGCGCAGACCTGGTTCCTCGCGCGCTTTCGGCGCGGTATTGAACCCTACTTGTAGTCGTAAGAGCTTCGGGAAAGGGGCGATTGTACCAGCCGCAAACTCCGACTGTCGTTTGAAGAAGCTTCGTTCAAACAGTGCTTTTAGGGACTCGCCGTTCTCGCTCCTTCCGCTGCTCACGGCGTCTCTGACGAGGCGGGTAGCACTAACCTACTAGCTTAGTAGCGCCTACTACGCTACTAGGAGCAGTGGATAGCCTGAGAGGTATCGCGACTATGGAGGACAATGCCAGCCTCGGAGATTCGGCTCAACTACCGCCACCATCGCCGGAGCTACTATCGTCACGAGCAGCGCGGTCGCGGCTCTCTCGAGCCGGCACTGCTCCGCAGGCAGAACGATCATCTTATGCTGCCATGTTGTCGGACTTGGAGCGCATCGTGACCCGGTTTCCGTCGCTGCCACGTGGCAGCACGGCAGTCCCGCCGCCGCCGGCGCAGCCGCAGCTGCAGCCGCAGCACCTGCAGCACCCGCAGACGCCGCAGCCGCAGCAGCAGGAGGAAGAAGACGAGCACATGATGCAGATGATGATGATGGCGTTCGACGACGATGCATCCGCCGCCGCCGCCGGGGGTTACGCGCGATCTTCATTCCAATCTAATTATGTCGGCGCCGTCGGCGGCAGCGGCGACGGCGGCAGCAGCAGCAAAATCCGCCCCTTGAGTGTCGAGCCTACCAGGCTAGGGCGAGATGAACGAAGCCCCAGGGGGGGGTTCGGAGCCATAACCCTTGACGCGGCTGTGCGCGGGTCCCCCGCAGGAAACCCTCGTGGAGGCGCCTCTCCTGGGGACCAGTCCACCGACCGCGCTACAGTCCGGGCAGCCCCTACTGGCTGTGCTACAGACAGCGCTACAGCCTGTGCTGCAACATGCGCTACAGCAGAGTGCTTCCGAGGCAGTGACGGGATGGAGAGAATGCAGCTGATGGCGTCGTTCATGGCCGCTCAGGCTGAGGATGAGGAGGAAGGGAAGGGGGAGGAGGACGAGGAGGGGGAGGGGGACGAGGGGGAGGGGGAGGGGGAAGAGGGGAGGGAGAGAAGAAGGGGAACGAACGTATGAAGGTGGACGATGGTGAGAACGAAGGGGGGGAAAGAGTGACCGGGGCAGAGAGTGCAAGGGCAAGGGTTGTCACGGCGGCCAATGCTCCGACCGCCGATGGCAATGCTGCGCTCGTTGAAGGGGGGGAAGGGGCGCCTGGCGACAGAGGGGCCATGGAGACTGGTGACGGTGGTGGTGCTGGCCATGGTCATACTTACGGTGCTGGGACTGATGGGCGGCTCAGGCAGAGGCAGGCAAACATCAAGCCGAGGTCGATGAGAGAGCGACGCAGGAGGGAGAGAATAAGGTGATTCTAACTTTGTTGTGTCTCGCTGGCGCAGTACCGACTCCTGGCCTTGTTTTCCCTGGAATGTGGCAGCTTATCCATCTTGTGTTACCAATGCGCAATTTGTATGCAATGTCACAATGTGCCTGATTGTCCTTGCTCTATCCCTCTGTCTGCTGCTTCCATACTCGTCGGTTACAGTGAGTCGCTTAGACGGCTGAGGTTGGCAGTGCCTCTTGACATCCTGGGTCCACACCAAGACTTGGGGTCCATGATTGAAGGGGCGGTAAACTATATTCAAGTCATGCAGGTATGCTTCGGTTTGGAGTGATCAGTGTCGACAGTTAGATGTTTTTTTTGTAAGATTTCTAATGCCTTCTTATTCTTGTAAATGAACCATTTTTAATGAATGTGCTCTTCTGATTTGTGCAATTCAGATGCGCCTGGCAGAAATGCAGCAGAGAGTGTTGGAGGGAGAGATAAGAGCAAGGCTGAACATGTGACTGTACGGCTGATATGAGATGACCCACTTGTAATGTGGTGACTAATGCAGAACCACCGTTTTGTTATACGCAAGAAGGCATGCGGATAGACATCAGTCTTTCATGGTTTCACTGCACTGGCCATTTGTAACGTTTTTATTGTACTGCTTTCGACCTTGATTTGTTAGGGATATTCCATTTAGTGAATTACTAACAATGTTCCGTTTGACCAACATTGCGTGTGACAATGTACGGTACGGTCACCAAGCACGATTGCAACGGACATGGCCCTGGTTTTCGGGGATAAATTCCATCGCCACCTGACCTGACACCCCGGCATCCCCCGTTACAAACCGCGCCACTACCCCCCCCGAACCATTAGCCCTGCTCTCTTCCGCCCTTCTCATTCCATCACCTGATTTGGCAGATATTCTACGCATAGCCCACATGGTTCGATGCCGCACCGTAACGTATCCACCTAGCATCGCACTCCGCCGTACGAAACGAGCTGAGTCTGCCACGCAACCAGATCTCCTTCCCCTTTCCCCCCCTGAGCAGGGAACAGAGAACCATTCATCCCACTTAGGGCTTGTCCATAGTGCAAATTCGACATCCGACGACATCCGTCCGACGTCGAGGCCGACATCCGACGACATCCGTGGATGTCGAGACTGGAGTTTCGGTACTCTGGACAGCCTTCGCTCAACGAAAGTGCCCAGACACTCTGTGATCACCCTGTGCAATTCATTTTGAAATGTAACGCTCGCCACACAGAAGTCGTGAGATTCGTCAACCATACAGACAACTCGTGCGATATAGACTGGTGGATCAACCAGCAGCTATACGCGTAGGCGTTTCCGATTTCGCCAGTTTTGGCGTGTAGTCCGTGAGGTTTTTTTTACATTCGGAATTTTGCCCTCCAAAGGGAATTGGTTTCCCTGCCCGCCGGTACTGTTCGACAAAACTCGACATCCATTCGCGACCCGGGATGTCGAGGGTGGATGTTGGGGCTACTCTGGACATGTGGGCCCCCTTGGAACCCCCCACCTATCTCCCTCGACATCCCCCGACATCCGTCGACGTTCCTCGACATCCCACTCTGGACACACCCTTATCGAACTGAATGCGGGGTGCACCCTCCTTTCCGCCCGCCAAGGACCATCGCCTGACAATGGACCCGTCGCTAGAGCTCCTTCGAGTGCATCATGTCCAGCTCGGTTGCTGCTAGGGTTCTTCCTCCATCACACTGTACAATAACACAGGTGAGCGGCAAGCATGCTTGGTGGGATGGGGCACTGGGCAGCCTTGCCAAGTTGCCACCCAAGCAGCGCAACACTTCCGACTTACGGTCGCCACAGTGCCTCAGGCCTTGTCCTATCCTATGCCGTCACACCTCAGCCTTCATCATGTGCAAGCACATGCTTTAGAAGCCTCCAGAAGCTTACGATTCGCG